ATGTTCCTAATTTCTATCAACGTGCAGAATGATAGGATTGCGTTTAACAAACAGAGAATAATTGGATTGGATTAAACTATAGATCAAAATATACATAGATATTTCGTAGGAGGCAATGTTTAGGTATTGTGAAATTAGGTTACTTATCAGCACTTTCTATGTCGTATGCACTATGCATGACATATTATCCTCTGGAGTGGTGTTTATTTATCACTTTGCTTAGCGTAGTAATTCCAAATGTGTATTTTACTGTAGAATTAACAATTTATACCGCAAATCGTACTTAATCAATGCAAAAAAGGATTTTCATGTTTTTTAAAATATCAAATCTTTTGGTTGATTATTATACACATTAGACATATAGACAACAATGAATTCTATGCATAAAAAATGCTTTGGCACCCATCTAATAATTTTATTTTAATGGTTAACCAGACTCAAAGAATATATATTAGAGGGAAATTTACTAGAAAAAAGTGTAACACGGCCATTTTGTTGTACTGTTTCCATACTGCAGGTGTACTTCACATATTTATGCTATATAACCTTTTGGGCCCTGGCATATCATTTATAGAAAATCTCAAATTAATATGAACCAAATTATGAAATAGGCTGGTTTCATAATTGGCCAATGATCATTTCACATAGACTCTATGCCTTTCACTTTACAAACGATGATTTTCCGTTATAACTATAAATCAAATGATATTTTTTATTCACCTAATTCATTATAAAGTTTATTTAACAGCTTTAAAAAATTCAAAATTGAAATGGATAGTCTAGGGAACATACTGTATTAATGTACTCTACTGCATATAATTTGTGAACATTTACATGATTTGTACACTTTGAACTTCCTTTCAGGCTGAAAGGGACTGAAAAAATTCAAAAATTTAGGTACAATCAAAAGGTATATTTCAGATGGCTGCAGCAGGTGGATAAATGCAAATAGATAGTAAACAATATTCTACACTGTCATCTCGCAAGGGACTAAATTTGTTGCATAACATGTGCTGGGTCGACTCTAAACTGGGTAGACCATACTCGACGGTACGACTGAATGCATATACAATATTCAGTACATGTTGTACCGGCTCGAATTATGAAACTTTTAGAGGGGAGTGGCGATAGATGTCTCTTTTTCATCTTTTCAGACGGCTTGAAGCTATTTAGTCAGGAGGTTTCTAGGCATCACATCCATTTTTAATCATCTTTGGATTAAACTTTATTGTGCTACGACGTGATTCGGATATTCTTGAAGATGATTTTCTTTGATGTACTATTTGGGAAGGTTTAATGAGATTTTAACCAATATTGGATTCAAAATAAAAAGATTAAACATCAACAAAATTTGAAAAATGATTTTTTCCGAGTACTCCTGCCAAGCTTAGCTCTCAATTTGTTTATTAATAATATTTCCAATGTTTCATTTTGTTCATAACTTTTACCGATTCATGAAATTCTTTTCTGTGACATAAAATTTGTTTTGGATTGCGCTAGCACATCAACGGTACCCTTTAATCCTTTATCTCTGAGCCCGCGATTTTTAATTTTTTAAATTCATTCAATTGGCATTTCTTATCTTTAAATGATTAGTCAACAATATTTTAAAAACTGAAACAATAAAGATGTATCATCTAATTTTTCACTTTGATTTTAATTAAATTTAAAAAAAAACACATTCAAAATATTTGTTGAGAAGGAAAACTCAGAAAACTGGATTTCAGTCAATTTATCAACTTTTCTCAAAATGGCGTATTTTCTGATTTTAATGACAACTCTCCTGAGTCATCTGTTGGCCTTACTAACCAGATCCAATTGACAGAACCATTGGGATAATTCATAAATCTTAAATTCATTTCAGCTAAGTGTGAAGCATAATGTAAAACCCCACTCAACAACCAGCTGGCAGCAGCCCTTCATAGACTTGACTTTAGTAATAAAATCGATCTTGGTTTGTTTTAGTGAAGAATTATTTTGAATGTTTTCAAATTCCAAAATCCACCATTCAACCAGTGCAAATCCACCAAATACAATATTACACCCAACTCTGTGCTGTGCAACTTTATTTCCAACTTGTTCCCTTGGCTGCCCTGGGTCTACTGATTGTCCTGGGTCTACTGATTGTCCTGGTTCTACAGATTGTCCTGGTTCTACTGCGGGGTATATTAGTTCCAAAACTAACACTTGGCCCATTTCTAACACTGAGTGCTAGAAATGGGCCAAATCTGCAAAGTTATCTTTTTCAAGAGAATATATATCTTTAAATCCAAAGACGAGTAGAACAAAATTACAACATGTATTAATAAAAAATGGCTAAAACTATATTTAGAAACAATTAATGTAAATCTTAAACTTATAATAAGGTATGAGAATTAGTTTGTGCGTATTTCGCTCATTTTCTAGCAAAAAGTGTTTATATTTTATGCATCTGTGTAAATCCTATTCTACCAGAAGACAAAGATCATGAAGATGAACCAGATGATGATGATTAAGACGAAATTGGTGAAAATGAAGATAAAACGAATTTGTCAGAGAATGAAAGTGATTTCAAAGACCTAGAGACTGAGAATGATTGTTCCTACAATGAACCGGAAAAAGTTGAATCTAAGGATTCCCCCATATCCTGTTAATCACCTGCCCAGTAATAATTGCCCAATTATATGTCAATTAAGCTGATCTCACCCCTCTCCTGACTGCTATTTACTATGTATAATTACCGTATGGGGAGATATGTCCCCTTCTTTTCATAATTTATGGAGCGTCTGTTTTTTCTCGTATTATGTTGTTTTAAACTAAAAGCCAATCAGAGCTCATGCCACGCAATTATAATAATTGCGATAATTAAAAGACCCTCAACTCTTTTCTCCCCACCAATAGGAACCCTTTCTGCCCAATTATGTATCATTATAAATATCAATAACCAATCAAAATCCATATAGTCTAATTATCGCGCGCAGTTACTGCTCCCTTGGGAGTATAAAAAGGGGCTCGATTTCTCCCCAAGCTGAGTTCAGAACAGAAATTTCTCCAGTGTGAAACTGCGTGCGATTCCGACTATTCAGGTTTTGAAGTTTTCTTTATTACTTTTGCTTTTGCTCCCCTTTTCTATTTCCTAGTTTTACTTGGTTCTTTTAGATTGATACTTTTTCTCTGAAGGCTCGTATTCATGTATGTTCACCCTAGTACTTAGTTTTTAAGGATTATATATTGTGTCTGGTTCAAGATTAATAAAATATCATCTATGTTTTCAACTAGCTTATTTGAGACCAGAATTTGGAACTCCGATTTATTTCAAGTAAGATAAAGAATCACACAATAGTCAATAAATAAAAAAAGAAGGATAGTTGAGCAGTTTTATTTTTGAATATAGAAACTAGAATATATAAAGATTTGTCATTCTCTTACAAGTTTTTGATGATTCTTGATTTCATTTTCGAACATATCCCTATGTTGAAATAATTACCGGATTTCAGCTCAAGTCGCGATTTTGGAACATATCCTGGGTTTGAGACAAAATAGAAAATAAAAACAAACTGTTCTTTTATAATTTATAAATCATTACAGCATTTAGAAATCAAAAAATGTATATCCTTTGTTCTTACAAAATAGATTATCTAGAAATACGGGAAACTGTTTGTTTAAAAAGCTTGTAAATAAATAAATCATCAATATTCTCTAATTTAACAGATAAAATGTGGAAACTTGGATTTTAGAAATAATTCAGAAGTTCATAAGATAATTTTTGTTTTCAGTGATTCATTTTGTAAGTTATGAAATTGAGTTTTGTTTTGAATTGTGGATTATACTCAAAAACGGGAAAGTGGGTTTTGTCTCGAAAACGCGACAATGTTTCAAATTCAGGATATGTTCGAAAATTGAACCTGACATTGTCTTGAAAACGGTCAAGAGCTTTAATATAAAAAGCACTCCAATTATAATCTTGATTCCAAAAAAAGTTTAAAATTGGGAATTGTCATGCTTAATAAAATGTTGGTTATAGTTTTTTATTATCGACTTTTACTCTGGATATGTACTGGATGTTCTGGTTCTACTGGTTGTCATGGTTTTACGTGTCCTGGTTCTACTGTTTGTCCTATATTGTCCTGGTTCTACTAGTTCTCCTACTTCTTGTAGTTCTCCTAGATCTCTCAGTACTCCTAGCTCTCCTAGTTCTTCTATCTCTTCTAGTTCTCCTAGTTCTCTCTGTACTCCTAGTTCTCCTAGTTCTCCTAGTTCTTCTATCTCTTCTAGTTCTCCTAGTTCTCTCTGAACTCCCAGTTCTCCTAGTTCTTCTATATCTTCTAGTTCTCCTAGTTCTCTTAGTACTCCTTATAGTTCTTCTAGTTCTCCTATCTCTTCTAGTTCTCCAAGTTCTCTCAGTTCTCCATAGTTCTCCTGGTTCTTTTATCTCTTCTAGTACTCCTAGTTCTTCTAGTTCTCCTAGTTCTCCTAGCTCTTCTAGTTCTTCTAGTTCTCTTAGTACTCCTAGTTCTCCTAGTTATTATAGTTCTCTTAGTTCACCTTATAGTATTCTTCAATTTATTTAAATAGTTAATTATTTACAATGAAAGTATTAACATTTTAACAGCAAAAGTTCAGCCTCATGGGAAATGAATTTAGGAGGACAAATTTAAACCATAATACAATATGATATATTATATATTCCTTGCATTCCTTCTTAAATACTTCCTAAAAATATATAAAAAAACATTTGTTTGAGTTCCTATCTGTAAATACAGTAAATTAGATTGCCCCATCAACAAAAACTTTGTGGCCATATGTTATAACCGATTTGCCCAAGCTGAGCTAACCGGCCTTATTTATCTAAGGAGCTAACCCATGTTCACGTTGTACATTGTACACATTGTACACTTAACACTGTACAGTGTACAATGCACTCTACACATTGCACAAAAGTTTTGTACTTTATCCACATTAGCCATTGCTTGCTTAAGCAACTTGAATAAGTTTAATAAATAAAAAAATAAATAAAAATGTTGGAGACCAATGAGATTTATTTAAGAGATCATCACACACGAATATATCTATTGAGTTTTAATAATTTACGAATTTTGATTAATATTTTTATAAATATAATATTTGTCGGTTCAGCCTCTCATGCCCACAAACCCACTTGGGTTCCTTCGCTGGTAGTTCAAGAATCTTTTCCAGACACTTCCTGGACTCTCAGCTCCCTGTATAGATAGATATATATATATTAATAATAATGATAATAATAATACTTAAAGGGGAGTAATTTCGAATAAGCTTTTGCTTTGTGTGTTGTCCGATTCACAACGGTACCCTTTAAACGTTGGCTTGATTACTGACGACGCTGAAAATATAGTGCCGGCAGCTGATAACATTAGTTTACAGTTATATATGAACACAATGCAATGAGTAAAATATAGTGCCGGCAGCTGATAACATTAGTTTACAGTTATATATGTACACATTACAATGAGTAAAATATAGTGCCAGCAGCTGACAACATTAATTTACAGTTATATATGAACACAATGCAATGAGTAAAATATAGTGCCGGCAGCTGACAACATTAGTTTACAGTTATATATGAACACAATGCAATGAGTAAAATATAGTGCCGGCAGCTGATAACATTAGTTTACAGTTATATATGAACACAATGCAATGAGTAAAATATAGTGCCGGCAGCTGATAACATTAGTTTAAGGCTATATATGAACACAATGCAATGAGTATTTCCCAATTTATAACTTCAACAATTCAGAAGATTTATAAAAAAATCAAATACAAATGTTTATTTTCTGTGGCTCCCTGAATATAAATAATAATATTGTTAGAATGCAGATTGAATACAAATGTACCATAATTACAGGCATTTCTGTAGACAAAATATGTAATGACTGACCAAGGTTGTATACTCTAGACGCGCTCGCATGCGCATAGTTTAACTTCTTTTGGTCAATTTCTTAGACGTTCTACCATAGGTAGAACCATAGTCACACTATGGTTACGCTTTACCAGAGCAGTGTAGATAGATAGATACGACCCATAGTTGTACCTATGGTAACATGAATAAGAAATTGGCCATTTATTAACGATAATTTTAATAACATTAAAAAAATTAATTTTATTGGATTGATTGTATCATTATTTTCAAAATAATGGAACTTCTGTTCAAAGAATAGAAAAAAATTGAAAATGTTTATCTATATATTGCATGCAGTGAAGTTAAATGTGTATATACTAGCTTGGGAACCCATTTTTCCCTATAAAAGTCAACAAACTCAATTAAGAATTTTTAAGCTATACAGTAAGAACATGTTAGAGTTCCCCAATCAAAATTTGAAGGAAATCAGTCCAGGGGCACATGCGTTATGATATGAAGATATAAAAAATGAATTTTTTATTGATACCAATTTCCTGATATTAAAATTTAAAAATGTATAAAGAAATCTGAAGTATAACCAGAAAATTCATGATGTAACAGAGAACCATTGTATAAAGATAAAAGGAAAACATTTCTAGAGGGATGCTATGATTTATCACAACCATTCTTGAGCGTGTTTTGAAAAAAATCAAATTAGCTAAACCTCTTGTCCATATTTTAGTAGTTGAGCAGTTTTATTTTTGAATATAGAAACTTCATCAAACAGATCATATGCAACAATTACGCAACCAATCTGAAAACGATTATATCCCACAGGTTTGCTCATATTGTAATTTTTTATTTTGCATTTTCAATAGATATTATTGATAATATTATTACATACAGTCCGTATAGTCTGTGTTACGTCACAATAACTTCAGCCAATGACAGAGCAGTATCGTTGTCATGTGCAACACACGGAAATCACTTGACCAGTATACTGCACTGCCATTGGCTGATGTTCTGGTGATGTAATACGGACTATATGGATTAAATGTAATAATATTATCAATTATATCTATAAAAATGCAAAACAAAAATTGTTATAATCATAACAGGAGCAAATCTGAGATTTTCAGGTTGCTGTGAGATATAGTCGTTTTCAGATTGGTTGCGTAATTGTTGAATAGAGTCTGTTAAATGATACAACTTTTTTACAAAATCTGACATATGTCCTTTTTGGTATAATTTTGACACAGTTTTATGTCAATTTCTCGAGACAGTAACACAAGATAGATTTTTTATAAGTATCGTTCAAAACTTGAGATTCTGGTTTTATCCTATACCCCCTTTCATTTTTCCTTTACAGTCCCTTTAATGACTGAAATTTTTCAAATATGACAATCTACAGGTTTTTGGACTATTCTGCTTAATAAAGTTTTCAAATGCATGATATTCTACTAAGTGATCTGGCAAAGATGCAAAAGCGTGCAGGTGGACAAGCGTAAATTTACATCGGTACCCTTAACAGCTTTGTCAGATTAAATATGAATTAGATATCAATGTTTTGTGTCTTTATTTATATCCTGTTTATTTTCATGAGCTGTTTTTCTGCAAAATGACTTGTGTATATCTTGCTTGTAACTCATAAGAAATAATGGAGAAATTTTTAGAATTAAACACTTTTTGAGGCAAGAAAACGACGGTGTCTTCCATTTTTTGATCAGATTAAGGTTTCAAGGGTATATTCTGTTGTAATTTGGGCATTGCCATCTTTGCCCGTAGGCACGCACCTCTGACCCTTCAGTAAAAGTAAATTCAACCTAAAGTCTGACCGCGTCAACCTTGTTGCACTGGCTAGTCCTATTGAGTGCTATGAATTCTAGTCCTATTGACCCGGCTCGGAAATTCAAATGTGCTACGACTGCCCGTGTAGGGTCTCATGCAATTACACTTACAGTCTTTTTAACAAGTTTTACTGAGAACAAATGAATATAGTTTAAATTATAGAAACATGAAGATATCCAGTAGTTTTCATTTTCATCCATCCGTTTACTCCTTTCATCATTTTTAATTGGACACGCACAGTTGGAAATTTGAAATAAAATAATGGATTTTAACATTTTGCATTAAGAGAGTAACTATTTCATCGTAAATATTTGATTCTTTTTACACTTTCAAAACCTCAAATTAGAATTAACCTTCAATAAAGAAAAATAGTATTTGTAGACGAATGTTCATCCCTCACATTAGTGAATTGATATTGTTTTTCCCGATTTTTGAGCATTAAAAAAATGCCTTATAGTTTCACCCTAACTTTCATTATTCAAAATTTTCTGTAAATTTCAACCCTTTTTTATCGAAATTTTATTCCCAGTTCTTTCACCGGAATACTTTGACCAAAATACACAAATTACAAGGAAAAAGTTTTTATTTCCTTTCATGACAACGTTATTAACCCGTCCTAAACAAAATCATTTAACCCATGCGCGTGCGCGACTTGAAGAAATATAAAGCTATGGTTGAACAAGCTATTATTAATAAACAGCTTAAAAAATCATAAGATACTTTGAAAAATTGAAAGATTTTATTGCTGATATTTTTTCCATTCACATATTACAGGGAACATAAGTTACAAAAATGGGTTAATGGCCCATTTCTAAAACTGAGTGTTAAGATTGGGCAAAATCGTGGTTTGGAACCAATATCCCCCTGCATTAGAGATTTTATTTTTGACATAAGAATGATCGATCTTAGGTGTTAAATAAAAAGCTTGTGAGATTTATCGACTCAATTTTAAACCATCTTTCTTTGGATTTTTCTAAAGATAACCTATTTTCCATATTTTAGTTTTATTTTTCAGATAAAAGAACATTTAAGGTGTCTGGTAAATATGTAAATTCAACTTGGCTGATTCTTTCAACGTATTATGCTGGAAATGAAACTTCAAACCAAAGTAATTTAATGTTTTACATACATAATTTATGTTTTACATATTGAATTTGAAGGGACTGTAAAGGAAAAATGAAAGGGGGTATTGGATGAAACCTGAGAATCTCTGATGTTGAACCGATACATCAATCTGATGTTTCTGTCTCGAGAAATTGATGTGTTTAAAATCTATACGAATATTCATATTTATGAAATTTTGCATAAAAGTTGTAGTATTAAACAGATCATATCCCACAAAAACGAAACCAATGTGAAAACGATGATATACCACAGAATATCAGGTTTGCTCATGTTATACTTAATTATTTTTTTTTTTTGCATTTTCAATAGATATAATTGATAATATTATTACATACAGTTCATATAGTTCGTATTACGTCACCAGAACTTCAGCCAATGGCAGTGCAGTATACTTGTCACGTGATTTCCGTTATGTATCATGTGACCAGGATACTGCACTTTCATCGGCGGGAGTTCTTGTGACGTAATACGGACTTATGAATAATATTATCAATTATATCTATTGAAAGTGCAAAATAAAGATTAACAAATTATAATGGGAGCAAACCTGTGATTCTCAGGTTTCTCTGGGATAAAATCTTTTCAGATTGTTTGCGTATTTGCTGAATATAATCTGTTAAAGTCACTGAAAACCTACTACTTTTATACAAAATTTCATATATATAGATTTTCGTATAACTTTGACACAGTTTTATATCAATTTCTCGAGACAGGAACATCAGATAGATGTCTTATATGTATCGTTCAACGCCTGAGATTCTCAGGTTTTATCCTATACCCCCTTTCATTTTTCCTTTACAGTCCCTTTAAAACACATTTACAAAGTGTGAATAATCTGAAACCAAAAGCTATGTTTTCTGTTAGATGAAATAATGTAAGTTTGATATATCAAAGGTTAACACCATCAGGTATTAAATATATAGGAAATAGACAAATTGAATTTGTGGCGAACAATAAGGTTTGCAAACAATATGGATCTGGTGTACCTTGAATTTTAGTCCGTTTGAGATATTACTGATTGATTTCTTGCCTCGCATACCGTTAAATGGAGCTTTCTTCCCTCGCATTCCTGTGAAGGATGGTCGCTTCACCATCTATAAAGAGAAAGTAGATTTATTAAGTCTAAAAAATACGGACATCATAGACCTTTGATATTTCGTAGTTTAAATTCTGCTATGATCAAAATTGTGTAAATTTGATATATCAATGGTATACACAATCAAAATCACACAAATAAAGGGATCAGTAAATTTGAGTTCGGGGCAAAAATTCAATTATTTTGTTCAAGAAATATTAATATCACCGAGGGTACAGGGCTACTCCCTTTCCCTCCATAAATGAGACTCTAAGGACGACATTAAACTCTTTAAAGAAATTTGACAAACAAGGTGAAAAATACCCATCGGTGGATTAAGGCACATTTTTGTCCTTTTTTAAATCCTTACTGTTAGTTTTACAACATTTACAAACTTTAAATATATAAAATGGGGCTTTTTACATTTTACTAAAATTTCGTTGAATAATGCTTAAATTGAAAAACAGCTTTATTTAAACTCAAACTTTTTTGATCAATCTTTACCGAGCACTTCTCTAAAGTAAACTTTTCTATTCTGTCAAAACTGTTCAAGTATTAAATTTTAACTGTCTTGTTTATCGGGGGGGGGAGGGGGGGTGTCTTTTTATATTTTTGATTAAAAATGTATTTATATAATTTATTTTTGTTACTACACTATAAAAAATCTGTGCCATGTTTGTTGTAAATCATCAGTGCATCTTATGAGAGCCACAATAAATCATTATAAGCAAAAACTCTACAATATAACATCGAAAAAAGAAGGGGAATTCCAGATTTGGAACAATTTTCAGTATTTGGAACGATATTTTACCATACAATTTCAGAACCCTCATGAAAGGGAAAGGAACTATTATAGAATTACAAAAAAAACTTCCAAAACTTCCTGTAATTCTGGAATAATCGGAAGTTTGAAAATTCTGGAACATTCCAAAAACAAAGTTCGGAAAGATTTCATGGTTTCAACAACCCTTTCACAAATCGTTGATTGCACATATTTTTCAGTGATTGTTATTTCATAAGTGACCGTCAGAAAACTGCCAAAAAATCGAAGTGAAAATATACGTGGTATTTAAAACTTCAATTTTACAAATTTCCCAAGAGTTTTAACCCTTTAAAAAATGTCAATGATGTTTTAGTAAATTTGATTATCAAAATGTTTTTATATCACTTATAAAGCATCCAAATTTTATTTTAGCTAGTCTTGAAAATTAAACGAAACACCAATTTCGGGCCAAGATATGAAATACAGGCATTGTTTTCTTTTTTTTTCAATAACTTTAGTATCCGTTAAATAATTTTCTTATTTTATTAAAATGGCCGTGGACATTGATTCAAGTGAACCTATACAAAAAGAATATAACGGTAGAAAGACATTCTTTTAATCAAGCCGTATGTAATCTTAACAAATTGGATTGATTTATTTTTGTTTTCTCATCGGGATCTTCTACAGAAATGGCTTTTGAATTTGCAGTAAGATTAAAAAATAAAACTGAACAGATTTTCCTCATTGTTATAAGTTGTGCATAAGATTAGATTAGATTAGATTATATTAGATTAGATTAGATTAGATCAGATTAGATTAGATTAGATTAGATTAGATTAGATTAGATTAGATTAGATTAGATTAGATTAGATTAGATTAGATTAGATTAGATTAGATTAGATTAAATTAGATTAGATTAGATTAAATATCCATGTTTTTCTTTCTTTTAACGGTTTCTTTAAATGTGCGGTTATTCTGCGAAAATGCCTTTCGTATTTCTTGCGTATAGAAAGCTCCGGGAAAATTATCAGAATTAAACACTTTTCGAGTCATAAATCTTTAATGTTTAGTCAGATAAAGGTTGCAAGGGTGCCATTAAATCGGGCATATGACACCTTTGCATGCTGACTTGAAACTAAGCTGTCCCTGTAATGATTCTCAAAAAGATATAAATATTTTACCAGATCAATGTCAGGGGTTCTGCGTCCTCTCATGCCAACAAATCCAGCTCTACGCTCTAGAGGATCCATTCTACAATAGGAATATTTATTTAGAAGTGTAAAGTAACACTATGGACTAGGAAGACGACATTTAAGAAATCTTATTTATATTTTACGTGTTTTTTAACAATTGCTGTACATACACCCTATTGTTACATAAATGAAAAATAACTATGTTGATAACAGTACATTCAATACAATACCAACAATTTTAAAAATAATACAAAATTAATATTTTGAAAATATTGATAATCATGTTATTAATGTATCGTTATATATAACTAAATCAAATGATATGAATATGACAATAATAATAATATGCTTAATAATTACAGTAATTACAATAACTAATAGTTTGACTAATACTTTTTGAGTTATGTAAAAAAAAACTTCGGAGGGTGCAAATTGACCCCCTGCTGTAATAGGGGTTAAAAAACAGCTGATTATATACAAATTCTGAAATTAACGTGCAAAAATGCAAAAAAAATAATTGTTTTGGGCCCTTAAAACAATTCCTGTTTAATAATATAGACACACCATACATAATCGATAACTTTAAGATTTTAAAAACTCATTTACTTTTCTCTTTATTGATTTATGTTCTGCGTTCTATAAAATCCTTTCTGGTCTTTTTGATTAAAATAATATTGAAAATAAGAAATATAATAAATCCTGTTTCTCGAAAATGAAAAACATCTTTTTCATATTAAGATCAAAATCTAATAAATATTGATCGATTAGTTTCTTATATTTCTCATTTCAGTAAAACTTTTGTTTATTAAATTATTGAAATATTATTGTATCTAAATGGCTTATTACTGAATTTAGATATGTGAATATATTCATTCCAAGCTGAATCTATAAACGGTTGAGGGACAAAATTATTCTTTTTAAAATGTCCTAGAATAATAAAAACTAATTGAATATATCTCTCAGATGTTCAAAATAAATCGTTAACAGATGAATTTGCATATAGCTGTTCTATAACCAGAGATCGGAGCTTTTATGTAGAGTATAGTGAATCTTGAGAGCTTGATCTTGGTATCAAAATGTGGACACTTTTAAGTTGAAGTTGAACTAACTATGCTAATTAACTATTGAAAGCTTATGAATTCTTACAGACCTGTCTTTCAAGGTGGACTCTCATTAAATGATTCCTAATAATCGGTAAAGGAATTGAGTCTTTGGAACAAAATTAAATATTTAAACCACAATATCTTTAGAACTCGATGTTGTAAACCTTTGATATTTCAAACTCAGATTATTTGATCTAACAGAATTCATAGTTTGAAATATATAAGGTATGTAACATTTTGTTCGAAAGATTTAGTGATTAGAAAATCAGAGTTTGTGGCAAAGACTCAATTCCTTTACACGGAACATAATTAAAAATGTTTTAATCAAAGCAATTTCTAAATCTTATTTTGATATGAGTTTTAGGATAGTGTAGAAGTTTTGCAGAATACTTCATTTGTATAAAATAATAATCATTTTGATTGGGTTTCTATTTGTTAAAAAATAACTAAAACTTGAACTGTATAATAGACAAAGCTAGTGAGGAGTCTAAAGTTCGTTAAACGTAAATTTTCCTGTAACTTTACAAATGTACATTGTAAATAAATATTTTTAAAATGTTTCAAATTATCTAAAAACGATTTCCTTGTTTCTTATACATTTACATCAATGTTTTTAAAAACAAGAAGAAAAATCTACAACTTTGTTTGTTTTAGTTGTTTGTTGGATTCGATAAAAATAAATGTGCATTAAAAGCATTTTACTAATAAGCAAAAAAAGGAGAAATAAAAGATTTAGTTCCTGCCAGAGTTGTAATTAAAACCTCAGGACAAATTGATTTTTCAAAAGAATGTTAAAGGTGGAACAATTTATTCTGGTTATTTTAAATTCCTTTGCCAGTACACTCCCCAGAGAATAATCTGTATAGCTGAGCATATGCTAAAAAGAATTTTCTCAAATAAAAAAAGTCGAGGAGAGGATATGTAGAATGTAGATGGAAGAATAAAAATGAACAAAGGATGAATCAGAATGCATTAAGCCTTGGTCGATCTTGGAGGATGGAGTAATTAAGGAATAAACAAGGAGAGAGTAGGGAGTAGTTATGGAGTGATGGTGTAGTCAAAGGGAGTAAGGATTGAGAAAATATGGAGTACGGATTGATTCAGGATGGAGTAAGGATGGAATAGTGTAAGAATGGATCAAGGAGGGACTAGTAAGGATGAATTAAGAATGGAGTCAGAATGGAGTAAAGATGGAGAAAGGATGGATTAATAATGGAGTAAGAATGGACAAGGAGGGACTAGTAATGATGGATTAAGAATGGAGTATGGATGGATAAAGGAGGGAGTAAGAATGGAGTCAGAATGGAGTAAAGATTGAGAAAGGATGGATTAATAATGGAGTAAGAATGGATCAAGGAGGGACTAGTAATGATGGATTAAGAATGGAGTATGGATGGATAAAGGAGGGAGTAAGGATGGAGTAAGAATGGAGTAAGAATGGATTAAGAAGGGAATATGAATGGAGTAAGGATGGATTAAGAAGAGAGTAAGGATTTCCCCCCTGTAGTTTTTTTTACACAACTCAAAAAGTATTGGTCTGAGGCTGTTGAAATCTTCTGACTTTTCCTAAATACACATAGCCCTCCCTTTAGGTATAAAACCGAGCGTTAATTCTGTGTTAAAACTGTGTGAGCCCTCAGGCACACCCCCTAAATGGCTACTTTTTCATGTAACAAACTAAATCTTTGGTTTGACCCACTTTCAGTTATCACATTTTGATAATTGTAAGCTTTTTGGAAAGCCTATGAAATAAGGAAACGGATTGCAGAAGTTTTACTAAGAAATTTTTGCAAATTATTTGCATACAACCCGTCAAAAGAAATTTGCTCATTTTTAGTTTTTCTGATGTGTTATTTAAAATTTTGCTATTCTTTTGTATACTTGAAATGGCATGGTCAAAAAATCAAATTCAAATAAGGATGGAGTAAGGATGGAGTAAGGATGGAGTAAGGAGTAAGGATGGAGTAAGGATGAAGTAAGGATGGAGTAAGGATGGAGTAAGGATGTAGTAAGGATGGAGTAAGGATGGAGTAAGGATGGAGTAAGGATGGAGTAAGGATGGAGTAAGGATGGAGTAAGGATGGAGTAAGGATGAAGTAAAGATGGAGTAAGAATTGAGTAAGAATGGAGTAACGATGGAGTAAGGATGTAGTAAATATGGAGTAAGAATGGAGTAAGAATGGATTAAGAATGGAGTAAAGATGGAGTAAGGATGGTGCAAGGATGGAGAAAGGATGTAGAAAGAATGGAGTGAGGATGGAGTAAGGATGGAGTAAGAATGGAGTAAGGATGGAGAAAAGATGGAGAAAGGATGTAGAAAGGATGGAGAAAGGATGGAGTAAGAATGGAGTATAAATGGAGAAAAGATGGAGAAAGGATGTGAACAGCTAATTGTGGACTATAAAACATATTAAAACATTTAAAATTGAGACAAACATTTGAATCAAATATATGATGCCATGAAAAAGCTCAAAATTTTCCATCAAGGTAACCGGATACAGTTTTAATGGAATGGGGAGCTGAAACCCAAAATGATTGAATATTTGATGAGTTTAAATACCTCTACAGGGTACAGGGTGTGTCTAAAAAAGTTTTTACCTCATTCAAAATTCTTTCATCTGCAAGTTTGCTCTGACTATTTTTTATTTAAATCTTAGAATTTATACACCAGAACGGATAAAAACCTTGATATATTATATTTTTTTTGTAAACAGTTTATCCTTATATCTACTTACATTGCTGTAACTTTATGGCGATAATCTATATATCTATATATACTTTGCTTGTCTGTCTGTTTGTTTGAATCTAATAAACGTCAAAACGGCTGAACCGATCGGGCCCAAATTTTTCTGGGACTTCAAGTGACCACAGGGAATGGATGATCGAATTTTCAAAAAATTTACTCTACCAAAACTTGATTTTTAAAAATTTTGAACATCCGCGAAATTTGTTTGATAAAATCCGCGAAACTTTTTGTTTGTTTTTGTTTCACAATGTATACAAAGAGAAGTTGAAAACATGTTCACAATTGAAATTGAAGATGGGCGCGAAACGGCCTAAAAGCCTATTATAAATATAAAACTGTAATCTCTGTTTGTCTGTTTTGTTTGTATTTCCGATCATTACTCATGAACCCCTTGATAGATTTGGCTAATATTTTTATTGGGGAATTCGGGAGAACCACGGAAATGTTCTTAGCTTAGTTTTGAGATTCTAAGTTGAGTGGTTTATTTCTAAAGGAAAAAATAGATAAAACCTAATTTACGACCAAACGCGGGTAAACGGCGGGAGTAACTATGTGCTCTCGAGCTAGTCTTTCATAAACATATTTACGGGTTTTTATATGTTTAAATGAATTTAAAACCAATTCATTTGTAATTTTTATATGTTTAAATGAATTTAAAACCAATTCATTTGTAAATGAATAATTTGAAACATCTCCAGGCTTGTAAATCTTGTGTCATGGATAACATTTTGCAAAGAGGTAAAAAGCAAACTTTTATAGCATATAATTAAAAAATTTGTAAAACTACTTAAACTTTTAAGATTCCGTTTGACAGAAAAATTCAACGTTTGAAAAACATAAAACGAGATTTATTTTTATACAAGTACAAAAATTACACTACAAAGCAGTGCAGTGCAGTACAGTACAGTACAGTACAGTACAGTACAGTACCGTAAGTACAGAACAGTACAGTACAGTACATAAAAATACAATACAGTACAATACAGTACCGTAAGTACAGAACAGTACAGTACATAAAAATACAATACAGTAAAATACAGTACCGTAAGTACAGAACAGTACAGTACATACAAATACAATACAGTACCGTAAGTACAGAACAGTACCGTACAGTGTATAGAAGAATGCAGTATATGTTTACCTATTCAGGGAGTAATCCATGTGTTGGTTGAAATCTTCTTGTTCTAAGGATAGAACTCCGACACACAGACCCAGCAGTACAACTACAACTAAACCACTGCTCATCCTACACATATTTCACATTACACACGCCGCACATAATTTCCTTTGAAATAGTTTTTTTCATTTCAAGTGATCTCAAATTTACAGAACCCCCTTCACATTTGTCTGAGGAAGATATCGTCGTTTTTCTGCCTTAAAAGTATTTGACTTCATTGTCGCTTCCGAAAAAGTCTGGAAGTCACTTTTAAAGAGAAAACAATTAAAAAAAAACAATCTTAAAGGGACTGTTAAGGAAAAATGAAAGGGGGTAAAGGCTAAAGGCTATAATCACTTTAGCTCTTGATCGCGACCCATAAAAGCTTTATCTAATGTTCCTGCCACTTACCCCTCTAAAATGGAGAAACACTTATTTATCGGCCAAAACTTATATTTAGTTCACACAGTTTTTAAATAAAACTTTTCATAATCCTGTACACTGTATTTTTACCTCTTTGTTGTTTTTAGATTTTTTTATAATTTGTAAAAGTTGACAAATAAATTTTCTTGTAAAATGCATGCACAAGTCATTGTTTCACTGAGAATTAAGATTCAAATAAAATCACAACATTTTCGTTCACAAGAATTTCTTGGCACTATATATATTCAATAGTTTTATCTAAAACACTTAAGGACGAGAAAAATTAATTATTTGAAAAATATTTTATTGGTGTTTTTACCATTTTTCTCCGTTTCATTTTTAATCGTTGACTTTTTTTTGCAAAACGTCTTATATTAAGCTTCTTGATTGTGTTTGCTGACTACGTCGTGAAGCTGAATCATAATCATGTAAATGGGTGATAAAGCTGCCAAACAATTTAAATAACGTTGATAAAAGAGAAGGGGGAAAACAACACAAAAAGAACTTCTGGGACACAGAAAAAAAGTAACGGAATATATCACAAAACTTGTATGTCTTTAAAATCTTTTTATTCCGAAAAATGACAGAAATATGTTAATAGAATATTGTTATTTTTCATAATGAATTACAACTGGAAGAACATTATAAATGTTTTAATAGCTATTAAAGACTAAATAAAATTCAGATTGCATTAAAAAAACAATCCAGTTCGAGCATCATATGTTTAAGAACTAATGCCGCGTAGATCAAATACGACTTGAACTTTGTCACTTAATCCTTACGTTTATTAAGACACACTGTATATAATGTTGCAAAAGGATAATTTATAACTCTATCTGAATTCTTGGATTATTAAAATTCCAACGTGAATTTAATCGGTAAGAATTGACTCGGTAGTTTGAGAATGAATTGTTCATAAAACGCTAAAGAACAAGTCAAATGTTACATTTTAAAGTTAAAATCTACTTTGACTTTGTATGAAGGAATGCCTTATATTCATAATGCATAAGCCTAATTAAAAATGTGCGACATAAAACTTGAATATTGCTCAGATAACGGTTAATTTAAAGGGTACCGTTGTGAATCAGGGTTAACTTGAAACTACGCAAACAGAGCTGAAATCTTTAGAATGGTGGATACCGAGATTAATGCTTGATCCTCTCTTTTTCTTAATATCGAGACTAACCTAATCTTGCATTTGTATCCTAAAAAGTGTATAAAATTTAACCAATCAGAGCCGCGTATCGTATATGAAGCCGATAAATTTGAAATTTTGCGCGCCATTTATGATTAATATATTGAAACGGAAGGAACCCTCTATTTAAAAAAAAACCGGTTTTTGATTTTCTCTACTATATCCAAGAAAGAACGGTTTAAGAAGGAAATCAAAAGTGTATCCATTGGATACTCAGATTAAGTAATCGGGATTAGGGATATGTCATTCTAAAGTTTCAGCTCAGTTCCTTTAAAATTGACTAGCTTATAAGGATCGTTCAGTTGTACTAATTTATATATTTTTGCCACCTCATATTGTGAACCTTTTATATTTATATATATTATTTGATCATAATTCATAGTTTGAAATTTAAAAAGGTCCAGAGCTGGGAACTTCAGCATGGATAAACTAAATCCCGTCTGCATAATCCGAATATCCACGGTGGAAACTTTTAATTTTAGCCCTTAATCTACTCTTTTTCTCTCTCCTCAGGACTGCTAATTAAATAACCATTATTTGTGACTAAACCTCAATTTCTTTAATCGCTTCAACAATGTCTCTGAAAAATTACTGCCATACTTTCTGTCCTAATAATTATAACGTTTTTTTTTTAGCTAGAAAACAGTTTTCTCACAAAGGAATTCAGTCTTAGCCGTAGACTCAAATATGTGAATTTATTTCCAGCTTAGGTTATTTGATCAAACAAAATTAATAATTTGAAATATCTAAAGTCTATTACACTGGGTTGTAAAGATATAGGAATTAAAAAGTCAGAGTTTGTGACAAAGAATCAATTCCTTTCATAGATTTAATAAATATTTTTCATTTATTAAAATTAACATATTGTCTATTTAATATTAAAATGAAAAACAAAAAGTTTTATTTTGATGCCTCTTAACCTTTGGTAGCGAATAAAGTAAACAAAAATGCCACACTTTCTTTTCGTAAAGTATATAGTATTGACAGAAAAGTTTCATTTCAATTTCTACCAAAAAATCTTTCTTAATTCTAAAGGTATTGAGTTTCCGCTATAGACTCAAATATTCTTTCTTTGCAACTAAATGATGTACACCTTTGATATTTTAAACCTAGATTATTTGACTCCAGAATTCAAAGTTTGAAATAACTAAGTTCAGAATTTGCAAAAAAGACTCAATTATTTGTATTTTCTTTTCTTTAGCAAGAGCAAAGCTATGATAATTTAGTAGATTAATAGAAATGTATGAAAATTGTAGATGTATAATTTACATAATTTATTTATGTTTATATTTCGTATTTCTTTTTTTTTGTATTTACTTTTTAGGAGATTCTGGGGATATTAAGATGAAAAGTATTTAAATATACTTGCAGGACAAACTGAATACCTACATATTGATTAGTTAGTCTCTACTAACATTATTGTGTAATTTATCCCTGGCAGATAATACTCACAAGATAATTAATATAAGAAAATTATCTAATTTTCTTAATCAACGAATTTCGCCAAATGAATTGAGTCTTTGCCACAAACTCTGATTTTCTAATCACTATATCTTTGGAACCAAATTTTGTAGACCTTAGATATTTCAAACTATGAGTTCTGTTAAATCAAATAATCAGAGTTTGAAATATCAAAGGTTTACAACATCGGGTTCTAAAGATATTGTGGTTTAAATATATGATTTTGTTACAAAGACTTACTTCCATTGTAAGAAAAAAACTCGTTGTTGTGTTTATTATAAAGCTAAATATAAAGAATAGAAGATAAAAAACTTTTTATTTTTATATATTATGAACAATTATTTAGGTTTGATAGTAAACTGTTATTCATTTTTTGTGAAGTTTTATAAATTCACTCTGAAAAATAAATCCTTTTTTGATCCTGTGTATTAAAATTATTTTTGCGAAATGTAATTAATTCAATTTCGTTTTTTATATTTGCTTTTCTATAATTATAGCATAATTTGTTCATAATTATTGGTCACTATAAGACAATTGTCTAGACAATGTAAGTTTAAATCAAACCCACTTTTTCGCAAAAAAACTGAAAGCATTTTTGGGAAAACAGTTAAGTAATAAAAATGAATAAAAATAAAGAATTTTAGTTAAAAATTAAAAATAGATATAAATAAGGTTTCAAGGGTTTCTATGCAAAGATGGAAATGCCCAATTCACAACTGTACACTTAAAACCTAGTTGTCTGATTAAGTATGTTAGTTATCAATATATATATATATTTATATATATATATATATATATATATATATTCCCTGTTCCTATTAAATCGCATGTTGAGCCTGGCTAGTGGCTAGGCTACAGGCGATAAACCATTTAGCAATCTTATACCAATTTTTCAGCCATCTTCCATATACTGTTGCAATAAATTCGAAGCCTTTTTGTTAATTGTGTTCTGTCTTTTTATATATATTATCAGAACCATTTTATGTATTAAAATATGTTTTGTATTTTAATAAAGTATTTGAGAAGAATTAATGTTTATAATGTTAAAAAAATTTTATTTTCTTCAACTGTGGGTTTTCTACCAAAGTGACTTGACCATTTCTGCTGTTGGAAAACATAATGGAATTATTAGAAATAATTTACTTTCAAACCTCAAACATCAATATTATCCACATGATTAAGTGAGAATAAATAAAAAATATAAAAATGTAAGGAAAAAGAAAGAAGAGATTTTAATCTGTTGTCATTTAGAATAAGGAGTGAAGAATAATGAACGAAGTATAAAGAAAAACGAAAAGAGAACTAAGTATAAAAGAAAGGGAAAAGAGAACAAAGTATATAAGAAAGGGAAAAGAGAATAAGTAAAAAGAAAAACTAAAACAGAACCTGTTGTGTTGAATGAGGTTGATCTACTCCGGAGAATAAGGTTCATGTTTACCGGTTATACTTACAGTATCCTCCCCCTAGCCTCCCGTATTTAGTCATCAAACCTTTCCATACATTTCCATACATTTCCTTACATTTGCATACATCTCCCTACATTTCCTTACATTTCCATACATTTCCATACATTTCCTTACATCTCCTTACATTGCCATCCATTTCCATACATTTCCTTACATTTCCTTACATGTCTTTACATTTCCTTACATTTCCTTACATTTCCCTACATTTCCGGACATTTCCCTACATTTCATTGATTTCCATACTTCCTTACATTTCCATACATTTCCTTACATTTCCTACATTACCTTTCCCAACATTTCCCTACATTTCCTTACATTTCATACATTTTCTATCCAACATCAAACCTTTTCCTACATTTCCTTACATTTTCTATCCATCATCAAACCTTTCCCTACATTTCCCTACTTTTCTTACATTTTCTATCCAACATCAAACCTTTCCCTACATTTCCCTACATTTCCATTAATTTCCTTTCATTTTCTTATATTTTCTACATTTTCTATCCAAAATCAAACCTTTCCCCTACATTTCCCTACATTTCCTAACATTTCCTACATTTTCTATCCAAAATGAAACCTTTCCCTACATTTCCCTACATTTCCTTACATTTTCTTACATTGCCATACATTTCCATCCATTTCCTACATTTTCTATCCAAAATCAAAACTTTTCCTACATTTCGATACATTTCCTTACATGTTCTATTCAGCATCAAACCTTTCCCTACATTTCCCTACATTTCCTTACATTTCCTTGCATTTCCATACATTCCTTACATTTCCATACATTTTCTTACATTTCCATACATTTCCATACATTTCCAACCATTTCCTACATTTTTTATTCAACATCAAACCTTTCCCTACATTTCCCTACATTTCCTTACAATTCCTTACATTTCCTTACATTTCCTTACATTTCCATACATTCCTTACATTTCCATACATTTTCTTACATTTCCATATATTTCCTTACATTTCCATACGTACATTTCCAACCATTTCCTACATTTTTTATCCAAAATCAAACCTTTCTTTACATTTCCCTATAACATATGTTACATTTCATTCCATTTCCCTTCATTTCATTTCTCTTCATTTACTTTCATTACATTTCCTTAAATATTACAATCACATCCTTACAATCAAATCTTTCCCTCCATTTCTAGACTTCTGGATATCGAAATTAAGCGTTCAAGATTAACGATATTTCACCCCAAAGTTTCCACTTTTATATTGCGAAATAAATAAACATTAAAATTGAGTGAAGATATTGAGATATTTTTTGTTCATTTTTATGATCAATATTGCGATGCCAACTGATATATGAGGATTCAAACCTGTTTAATGTTTTATTTGGCTAGAACGTGGGACACTTTATTCACTAAACTTAGATACCTGAGTCTAAAACTAAAGAATGCGCGAATTTTAAGTTTGAGGTTAAAAGTTCTGTAAAATAATGAATAGTTACTTAAATATTTAACTTTCTCAATTTTAAATTTGAATTTCCCGGGAAAAATCTGAACCGTTCAGAGAAAAGGATTTAAAGAATTATTGCGTAAGTATCGGTATTCGGTAATCAGCTGTTTTTTAAATTTTAAATTATTTACGTGACGGAAAACAAAACATATTTCCAGTTACAACCGTATTTTGGGTTTACGTGCAAACATTAATTAATCTAAAACGTGACATTTTGTTAAATCAAGGTTTTTACTTTTAAAATATCGTAATTAGTTGAATGCCGCTTAGCGCTGAATAATGATAGACAAATAGGGATTGCGGGATTTCAAGATTTTAACCCTGTGTTTAAATTTTAAGTCGTCGATATCGGCGAGTTAAATATTTAACCACAGGATGAAATATTTAACCACAGGATGAAATATTTAATCACAGGGTTAAATATTTAAACTCACGGTTAAAGTTCAGGTTTAAATTAAGTCAGAAGTGGCATTTAACCATGAACTTAAAATTTAAGTCAAAACTTTTCGTTCTTTAGTTTTAGACTCTGGTTGAAATTGAAAATGTCAAACTCATGTTAGTTTAAGATTGAATTTATAAAAGATTCTTGTTTATTTCTAGAAACCTCTTTGATCCGTTGATAAGTTTACGCCTAGCGGCTCTAACCAATTTATGTGATGAAACTTAACCACGTTGATAAAAAAGTTGCAAGCTATCACGCAAAAAATAGTTTAAAAACTATTTCCGAAAACTTTATAGTTTTTTGATAGACATTTCTACATACAATTAAGAGTAAGTTATTGAGGTAATAGCAAAGCCCAAGAAGTTTTGGCACTTTAAAGGTGACCCAGTCATGAACATTGATGCACTTTTTATATAATAGCAGCAAGAATTTATGTGTAACCCAAAGATAATAGAATATATATTAGAGTGGAATTTAGACAATCCCTCGGTATGAATTGTGTCAGTCCCTTTCAGCCTGAAAGGGAGTTCAAAGTGTACAAATCATGTAAATGTTCACAAATAATATGCAGTAGAGTACATTAATACAGTATGTAGAATGGAAAATCATCGTTTGTAAAGTGAAAGGCATAGAGTCTATGTGAAATGATCATTGGTCAATTATGAAACCAGCCTATTTCATAATATGGTTTTCTTTTAATATTAATTTTAGATTTTCTATGAAATGATGTTCCAGGGCCCAAAAGATTATATAGCATAAATATGTGAAGTACACCTGCAGTATGGAAACAGTACAACAAAATGGCCGTTTTACACTTTTTTCTAGTAAATTCCACTCTAATATATATTCTATTCTCTACCTGTTTACCCCAAAGAAACTAAGTTCTTGCCACAAATGATTATTTTTATCCCAATATCTTTGCAATCCGATGCCATGCACCTTTCACAATTTTTTTTTCTGTAAAAATTAGGAAAATGATTTTTTATTTTAAATCTTTTACATTTTTTACTTTTTCTTTATTTTCTTAATTCAAAATTGATGATTTTCGAGTATTTTATTCTCATTTTGAAATTTCACAGTTTTAGGAGAAAAAATTGATATTTTTCCCGAAAAATTTGCATCATTTATCATGTTTTCCATTAAATAAACAACGGAAAACAATATTTATCTATATTTATCTTTGTCTCATAATCACTCATCCGACATTTAAACATTCACCAAGACAACACAACTTTTTAGAATGAAGTTAGAAAAATAGTCTTTTAAAAAACTTTATCGTTATTTTAAGTGACCCCTGTTTCAAATAAATGTAGAGGGGTAGAAATACTTTTCAAAATACGTCAATCTTACAGAATTGCCATTTAATACTTTTTCCTTTAAATGTTGACAAATTAGTATCAAAAGAGAAAAGGCGATAAAAATGTATAATAGGCAAATTGTAATCGTAAGTCCTAGTTCTCTAGAATCACTTTAATATTACGTCGACATTTACTTTATTTCTTACTAGCTCAAATGGAGTGTTCACGAAAAATGAAAGGGGTTATAGGCTTACGGCGAAAAATCATCGATGGTGATCACTACTAATCTTACTTCTATCTGTTGCGTCTATAAGGAGAACATTGTTAAAAACGACTCATACCGATGAACGCAGAGTCCATACAAATTCAGAAAGTTGCAGCATTTAGCATATATACGACTATGATCTTAAAAAATCTATTTAATTCCAAACAAATTATATAGATATTACAACCTATAATTATCGATAATTTTTCGACGCATTCGTATATAGTTGATATTTCATAATAGTTTTGATTGAAAAAATAATATTTAGCTTACAACTTGTTTTCACGGCTGGCGCTGGATTTTCGAACATTCCTGGAAAATATGAAAATGTCGTCTTCATTATCAAAAATCCTCGAAACAGGAAAAAATGTTTTCAAAAGTAACTCTCAGATCAGATATGATGAAATTGGTAGTAAAGTCTATTTTAACTCAACTTAGAATCTCAAAACTAAGCTATAAGAACATTTCCATAGCTCTACCAAATTCCTCAATCAAAATTTAAGGCAAAACGGTCTAGGGATTCTTAAGTTATGATCGGACTAACGAACAGACAGACAAACAGAGATTACAACTATATATTTATAGATTATTTTTACTAGACTTTTGACTGTTCTTGGTCTTGTAACAATTAGTAAATTAACTGAAGGAATATATTGGTATATATTGTCCCACATGGTTTACATCATGTCAATTATTTCAGAGATATAGGGATATATATCTTCATTAGGGCGTCTCTAAACAAACAAAATTATGCATCCTTTTTTATTTAGGGAAAGAGGGAAATAAACAACCAAGCAGGCTTGTTCAGTCTTTAAAATTAATTTACAAAAAGAAACTAACATTTAGCACTCAGCCTCCGATAGAACAAAATAAAATTTTTAGATCCGAGGTCATTGGTCACGATAATCAGGCATTAACCGCCTTTAGATCCGAGGTCATTGGTCACGATAATCAGGCATTAACCGCCTTTAGATCCGAGGTCATTGGTCACGATAATCAGGCATTAACCGCCTTTAGATCCGAGGTCATTGGTCACGATAATCAGGCATTAACCGCCTTTAGATCCGAGGTCATTGGTCACGATAATCAGGCATTAACCGCCTTTAGATCCGAGGTCATTGGTCACGATAATCAGGCATTAACCGCCTTTTTAGATCCGAGGTCTTTGGTCACGATAATCAGGCATTAACCGCCTTTCCTAGTTTTACAGTTAGTGACAAGGTAAAAGAAACTTGATTCATGTATATGAAATGTCAGCATTCAGACTATTAGCATTTTATCTATTTTTTAATGGCTTACCAGTCCTTAGCATGCACAACAATTGTTATGAATATTCAAGTAACCCTGTTCAACTTCTTTTATTTATGTATAATTCATACATATAAGAATTAAACGATCGTTAAGAGTGCAATTTTTGTTTTATTTTTCATTTGAATTTTTGGTTTGCTCAACATTTGCCTAGTAAAAGTTAATTAGGATAAAATCTGAGTAATGTTTAAGGGACTGACTGGCTTTTAAATCATTGTATAACCTGCAGATGAAACATGTAACACAATTCTTCTATAAACTAATTTGCTGTTTAGGAACAGTTAATTAGGATAAAATCTGAGTGATGTTTAAGAGACTGACTGGCTTTTAAATCATTGTATAACCCCAGATGAAACATGTAACACAATTCTTCTATAAACCAATTTGCTGTTTAGGAACACATTTCTCAAAAGAAATTTTGAGAAGAAATCAATTGTACATCATTTATTTCTTTTTCATTGTCATCTTGCAGGAATTGATCCTTTGCCACAAACTCAAATGGTTTTATCTCTTTATCTTTGCATCCTGATGCTGTTGACTTTTGATATTCAATTATTTGACCTAACAGAATTCCTTGCTTAACATATCTAAGGTCTAAGGTATTGGATTAGAGCATCAGAGTTTGTGGCAAAAACTCATTTCCAATATTTGCAAATTTCTTCAAACTTCTTCAAATGTCGTCTTTGCAATTCCCACTTTACTGGATACTATGAAGATACAGCGTGTTTGATCTAGTCCGTTCTAGTTGAACTCTATAGTGCAATTCAAGTTCAACTATTTGTAAATTGCGACAAACAAAAATCTAAAAAATCATTTTTAAAGTTTGTTTTAAACACAAACATGTTTTGTTCGTGTTGCTTTTTTCCTGAGACTTTTTATATTTTAAATATGCGCAACAATGAAAATTTCTTGGAAAGCTCTAATATATGCGTCATTGTTACTTTTAGGTATATAGTTTAGCCTACTAGTGAATATATTGGGCCCAGGGGCGTAAAGTGGGGGGGGGGGGGATGGACAACTCAACCCTACCCTGGTTAAGTGGTGGCTATGATTTTCATGGGGGCTTAGCTTTAAATTTTGAGCGCCCCCTCCCCGAACCCTCCCTCTTTAAGCCATTTAATAATCGAGTCAAATCGAAAAAAAATTAATATACAACAGAATAAACGACCTCTGATAAGTGTTATTAATCGTTTTTGATCGTTTTTAGAACAAATTCAAAAAAATTTCCAAAATTTCAAGATTTCATTATTTAAAGTTTGCTTTTATTAAAAATCTTTTATACAAAAAAAACAAAAACTGGAAAAACGATCCACAAAACGATCGTTACAACACATTCGTTTTTTCCTCGTTTTTGGATCGTTTTTTTGCAAATATCCCAAATTTTGACATCCTTAAAGAAAGACCGAAAAACGACCCAACGGGAAGCACATCCCTACCGGACCCATGGTTAAGTACGTTCAGGAACTTAACTGTCCCTTCATCTCCAAATTCGATAAAACTGCGTTCAACAACTTTCTCGGACATTCAAGTTTTTACTTAACCACGGGGTTCCCAAAGCTTAAAGTAAAGTTAAAATAAAATTGCCTTAACTTTCCTGTAAAGTAATTGTTAATGACTAAAATGCAAGGGGAAAAATATTAAATTCTTTTATTAGTTTATAAATCTGAAAAAGATTTTAGAACTATTTTTAAACTATTTTTATTTTTCAAAGGTTGTACACGATATTAAACCAGTTCTATTTCTGGTAAGATAATACGGTGGTAGGCGACTATATCAATATAATGAAAACGACTTTTGTATTAAAATTTTAATCGTTAACAAGCTTTTTTCCAAAATTACAAGTTTACAAGCAATTAAAGAGAAACTTTTTAAATTGACATATTCCCCTTGTTTCCATTTTTATGTATACTAGCCTTAGAGGGCGCTTCGTGCCCATCTTCTAAATTAATTGTGAACATGTTCTCCTTGTGTACATCGTAAAACAAAACAAAAATAATTCGCGGATTTTCACAAAAAATTTCGTGGATTTTCAAAATTTTCAAAAATTTAATGAAGATTGAATTTTGATGGAGACAAATATTTGAAATTTTGATCATTCATAAACCTTCCCTGTGGTCACGTGATGTCCAACAAAAAATTTGGGCCCGATCGGTTCAGCCGTTTTGACGTTTATTGGATACAAACAGACAGACAAACAAACAAACAAACAGACAGACAAGCCAAATTTATATATAGATTCATACTGTTTAATAGCTTGATTGATATCAAAATTAAAATCGAAACATCTTCATTCTATTGACATTATCGCCCACCACCGTTTTGCTAGAACTTATGTTAACATGAAAGATGTATCTATATCTGTTCCTTTACAAACCCTGTATAAATAATTCTCTCAAATGTATGAAAAGACAAAAAAATGATTATTCTGAGGTTTTCAATCCCAAGGGAATAAAAGTTATGAGCATTTTTGACACTTTTTGATTTCCATTATTGCTCGGAAACATTAATGTATTATCATGTTAGTCTTTTGTTTTTGACAGAGTAACAGAAATTCATTCAAAGAGAACAGATCAATGGTTAAAGTTTAATTACAAAAAAGTTAGTTTCAAAAATACAGGGTGTTTTTGGTTATGTTTTAAATAGAAAAACTTTTGAGAGTATTGTATTTTAATAATTTTTTTATGTACATTTTTGAATACACCTTTAGTTGTTTGAATCTCACTATATAGCTAAAGATCTAATTTTGTTTAACGAACCTTACAATTTTAACCAAAAAAAGTAATCTATATTAATGTTCATTGTTCATCTAATCATGTAAACAAATAAACAAAGTATATTATTAAATTGTTATTAGTAGCGTAACCACAAGAAACTTTAAAACTTGAAAAATTGAAAGTCACACTCGATTATTTTAAATCTACATGATTTTGTCCATTTCCATTATTGTTTCTGCTGCATAAATTTGAAAGTCATGAGTTAAAAATCATTGATTTTTAGATGTAAAAGTCTTTGCGAAGCAATTCCATTGCAGCCAATTCCGTGCAGTTCCGCGAATATTTAATTGCTTCCTTGTTCGCAATTATAGCACAATTTTGCGCAATGAAATGGCGCAACCATTTTCCATTATAGTTTTTTTGTTTTTCTTCTCTAAATAATATTTTATCGTAAACTAGAATATGTGTTTTAGTGTATTATTCATCACACACAAATCATATATTTATTTTTCAATTTGTTCTTAAAATGCTTTTTTAATATCATTTATTATAATGTCATATACTTATTGATTATGATAACGGCCGTGCTTACAAAAGACAACGGACTTTCTACTATAACATTTAAGTTAGAAAAATATCTTTAAAATAAACTATTTTGTACGAATTTATCTTATTTATATTAATCATGTCAGATTATGAATAAGTCTAAACGAACTGCCACAAACTAAAATTTTCTATTCCCTATATCTTTGCAACATGATGGTTCGATTATTTGATCTAAGAGAATTTATAGTTTTAAATATCTAAGGTTTAAGATACCGTAAAGATATCAGTATTAGAAAATTAGAGTTTGTGGAAAAGACTAAATTTATTATGCAGAAAGAAAGATATATATATTTATTTTGATACATATATTTATTTTAATACATATAATTGTTTTGATATATATATATATATATTTTTCATACATATATTTTTATTCATATGTTTATTTAATGCATGTATTTATTTTCATACATACATTTATTTTAATGCATACATTTATCTCTTATTTTTTAATGCGAATGGTAAAATCGTTTTATAAATTGTTTTGGTTAACATTTTCTCAGTGTAAGAAATGTGAAGTTATATAAAATCTGATTTTAGTATGTGTTAAACATCTCAGATCTGTGTAGAGAACCTTCAAGTCCCAAAAACCTTGATTGGACTTCGGAGTCACTGTATTCATGTTTAAAAAATAAGAAAAATAAGAAAAATAAAAAAATAAGAAAAATAAGAAAAATAAGAAAAATAAAAAAATAAGAAAAATAAGAAAAATAAGAAAAATAAGAAAAATAAGAAAAATAAGAAAAATAAGTAAAACAAGAAAAATAAAAAAAAATAAGAAAAATAAGAAATTAATACGAAAAAAAAGAAAAATAAGAAAGAGCGACAAAACTCGAAGAAAACAACTGTTTATACTGTGAGAAAACACTTTTATATTTTATATGGGAACAAATAAAATACAATTTTTATTATTTTTAAATCTTTATCATTTTTGAAAATAATAAAAATACAATTTTTATTATCTTATCAAATATCTCTTTACTTAGTTTAATTAATAGTATAATGAGAACCAAAAAACTGCGGAATAGGAAGACGACATTTAAGAAATCGAGTTTTAGATTTTCTTATAACCTTTATTACAACTATTAATGTTTTTCATTTTCATTTGAATATTTGAAATCATAACTGGAGTCCAAACATCGTCTTCATTTTCCACAATTTTATATAGGTCGACCCCGTACTCTATTTTTCTCATTCTTATTTATAAACTTATTATTCCTAGAACGCATATTAATTTATCTAAGTCAACAAACGAATCAAAGAAAGAGATATCTTTAAAGTGTATAAAATGAATAACTCCTGACCCCGATTATTTTCTCCGTTCTGAGATGCAATGTAAAAAGTATAAGGTGCAAAAACGCAATTCAAAAGAAGTAATGTAGTAATTCCTTTGTTTTGAAATTAGACAAAAGACCACGTCCAAAAAATGAATGCTCAACAAAATAATTTTTTTCTGATTTATTATCAATTTAATATTAAATATATAATAAAATAAAATATTTTCCTACTTTTGGCAAATTTCCAATTTTTGCCACATATTGCTTCCTTTCCCTGCCTTAGTGTCTAGCTACTTTCCAGTCTCTAGTATAGTTTAGTTCTTGAAGCATACTGGAGCACTAGTTCGTGGAGCATACTGGAGCACTAGTTCTTGAAGCATACTGGAGCACTAGTTCGTGGAGCATACTGGAGCACTACTAGTTCTTGAAGCATACTGGAGCACTAGTTCGTGGAGCATACTGGAAAAGAAAATACATATTGAGGACACAATGGATGAGAAAGGAAAGAGTTTAATAGCTCTGATTGAGAGCGTAAAAGATCCAACAGAGTTAAAGAGTTTAAAGGATAGATTAGTTCAATATATAACCGAGGTATTTATTTTGCTAAATTAAATTGATTTAAGAGAATGTTGGTAATTTTATCTTATGTTTCTTACGTTAATGCAAAACTAAGTTTTTACCCCCTTTTTTATCCCTTAAATGAAAATTTGTATACATTTTTGTTGGACCATAGTTTTTGAATATTTAAATATACCCATTCTTTTACGCCATTTTATATGAAATTCTGTATGATGAAACTTAAGTAGTATTAATCGGTTCACGATTTTATCATGTTCATGTTTATGCAATAATTCTTTTAATTTTCCCGATCCCCTTGCCTTTAATGAGACTATAGACGTAATATCAAGTCCTCTATGTTTAGAAAAGCATATTCAATTTTCATCGGTAACATCAACGCTTTGTATTCTCAAAAATGAGTAAGATATCCATGATAACAACTTTCAAAAATTATTATTTTAAACTTTAAATTCTCTACAAAAGCATGAATTGGGCATGACCTTTATTCAGATTTACTTGAAATTCCACCAACAGTCCCTTTAAGATTTACTTGAAATTCAATTAACAGTCCCTTTAAGACCTTGTTAATAATCCCCAACCTCCATGTTGAATAATAGTAATCCTACATGAATACCAAAGCTTGACACCATTTGTAATAATATAAAATATTTCTCGTAAATCTACAGAAATATCAAAACATAATTTATTATCCACATTTGTAACAATTTGGACGGTAGGGTGCTATAGATTTTTATTGAGTGGTGTCCATATTACTGGGGAATGGAAGACGAAATTTAAGCGATCTTATTTTTCCAGCGGCTTGAAAATTAACTATAATCAAGTGAAATGGATTTATGTACAGGGTGTCCCCAGAAACATGACAGTTGATGACTGGCGTGCTTCTTTCATATCTTAAAGGCTTTCTCAGTTTTTTTCATTATTCTTTTATTCAAATATATTTTACTTAAATTTAATTTTACTGTAATATTTCTGCCATATTTTTATGTTTTTCGAAGTCAAACAACTTAACAAATTTGGGAAGGAAAGAAAACCACAACCTCAAAAACCAAATAGAAAACCTCAAAAAAGTGTACGCTAAACAATTAAGGCTGCAAGCTGTTTAAACAAATTAAAAACTTTTCCCCCTATTTTCTCTTTCCAAACATACGTCTTTCATTATTCTTTCATTCTTCTTTTATCTTCCTTCCTTCCTCACCCATTCTTCCTTATTACCTTTTTCACGTTTCCTTCTTGCCTCTTTATCACTTTGTCCTTTCCTCTTTGCTTCATCCTTATTTCCTCCTTTTTTCTTTTTTATTCGTTCTTCTTTCCTCCTTCGTTTTTTCATTCTTTCTCCTTCCTTCTTCCTCTTTTCCTTTTTTCATTGTTCCTTCTTTCCTCCTTCATTCTGCCTTCTTTTTCATTTTTCCTTCTTTCCACACTCATTATTCCCTCTTTCCTCCTCCATTCTTTCTTCTTTCTATCTTCTTTTTTCGCCTTTTTGTTTTTCATTCTCCCTTTTATTTTCCTATTTTCCTGTTTCATTCCTCTTTCTTTATTTCTTCGTTATCATCTTTTTAATTCTTTTCCTTTCCTCCTTCTTTTTTCCCTTTTTTCCCTTTTTCATTCCTCTTTCTTCCATCCTTCTTTCCTCTTCCATGTCCCTTTTTTCTCTCTCTCATCTTTCCTTCTTTCCTTGTTCTTTCTTCTCTCCTTATCAAATCTTCCTTCTTTACCCTTTCTTTCTTCTTTCCTCCTTCTTCATCCTTCTTTACTTTTTCTTCCTACTTCTTTGCTTTTTCTTCCTCCTTCTTTACTTTTTCTTCCCTCTTTCCTTGTTCTTCCTTTTTTCCTTTTTTTACTCCTTCTTTACTCTTTCTTCCTATTTTCCTCTTTCTTTCTCCTTTTCTCTTTCTTCCTTCTTAACTCTTTCTATCTTCTTTACTCTTTCTTCCTTCTTTACTCTTTCTATCTTCTTTACTCTTTCTTCCTTCTTTACTCGTTCTATCTTCTTTACTCTTTCTATCTTCTTTACTCCTTCTTCCTTTTTCCTTTTTCTTCCTTTTTCCTTTTCTTCCTTTTTCCTTTTTCTTCCTTCTGGAATATTTTATATTTACATTTTAGAACCAGTATTTAATCAAAACAATGTTATACAACGCAGTACGGTTTTTGTCTATCTATCTATCAAATTATTTCGAGCATCTAACAAGTTACTGCAGACTGTAAATGTCCACAATATATACTCTGTACTTTCCACTTTTGATTACTTAGTTTTAAAGGCTATGGTATTTTTCCTTATGGAAGGAGACATTTAAAACTATTTACCAACTGTCCTACTTCGTGGGACACCCTGTACATCATTACACAGTTGCTGTGTTTAATCTTTATTGGACAAGTTTAAATCTGAACGTAAAGGATCCGTTAGCGTGATTTTTAGTAAACCTTCATCAAAATTCCAAACAGGGCAATTCCCAATTCACAACGGAACCTTTAAAACCTTCGGCTGTTTAAACATATCTAAACCCGCTTGAATTCCTCTTAAATGCGACTGTACGCTGTGTACAGTCTGAGCCCGAAATTTAAAAGAGTATCGTTGAACAAAACTCCCGAGTTTCCTTTTACGAAATAATTTACAGTTTTTAAACATGTGAGGACAGGAAAAGGAAGATCACAGCCTTCCAAAACTAGACGTTATTAGTTTTGAAAATGACAACAACTTTTTTTTTAGTTTGAAGTCATAGCCGAAGAAAAAAGAAGCTTGGAAAATTATGTCAGCTCTTTGAAAAGCCGCACCATCTCAACCAAAAACATATCAACAAGCACGGAACATATCTTTGAAAACCAATCAGAAAATGCCGAATCCAATGAGATTACTCCTGTATTTCAGGAGTTGCTTTCAGAAAAAGAAACAGAAATTCAAATCCTGAACGAAATGAACGGTGAGCTGAAGGTGTTGGAGAGAAAGAATGCTGAAAAGTATGAAAATCAGCTTGAGGTCTCAAGAATCCTACAGAAGGAACTGCAGGCTAGTTTTACTGAAAATCAAAGCTTAGCAAAAGAAATGGAAAAGTTGAACTTTATGTTTGCAGAACTAGAGCAATCTATTTTGAATCAGGAGAATAATGTTGCCCATGACAGGGAAGTAGAAATCAGAATTGACAACAATTCCCAAATGGAACCAGCCACCCCAGAGACCAATTTATATAATGAGGTTAATACTAAAAATGGCCCAAAGATGGTGTTAAGTGTGAGTAAAACATTTAACAAACTAAAGGATCTCATCCTAGAAAAGAAAAGTCTAGAAGAACAATTGTCTAAAATGAAACATATCAACCTACATTTCTGCTCCCAGGTCAATATTCATGAGGAGAAGTTGTGTAACATCACTGATGAATTGAACAATACATGGTTCTATGTCTCCAAGATCAAAGAACAACATCGCAAACTCCACAGCTCAGAACAGATTCTTCGTGCAGAGCTTGCGGAGAAGCGTATTCTTTTGAGCAAGCTCAGAGTTGAACTTGAAGACTCTAAGCAGTGTTGGAACATAGTCAAGCAGAAAACTGCTGATTCAGAGAAACAATGGGTTGCACTAAAGGCAGACTTGGCTGAACAGAAACGCTTACTTTTCTCCACAGACTCCTCTGAGAGTGGAATTTCAGAAGCAGAAGATGTCTCATCTGAAAAATCAGAAATCCAAAGTCTAGAAATAGCCAATGCAGTTCTTGAACCGGATGAGGTGTTTGATGAAAGTATTGATAATGATGATAATGAATCTTTCAGTGATGAAGAAATTCCTAATCCCTTTAGTGATGAGGAAGAAGAGGAGCCATCTGTAATTGAACCCCACATATCAATACCAAATTTGCAGTATCCTGTATTCTTTCCCTCTGTAAGCTATATTGCTAATGTACCAAATGATTTTCAGTGTCCATTGATTCCAGCTGAAAATGAAAAAATTCCAATTGAAGAAAACAACATTGAACAGGTTGATGATAATGTACGCGAGCTAATAACAAGACTAAGTTCAAGCACAGCTCGTGGTGCTTTCTTGGCAAACAAACTTGCTGAACTTCATAAAAAAATTGCAGTAGGAGAAGGACCCTTAGTTGGTGCTGGTGAAGAGGACAGCACAGTAGCAGATGATGAAGAGACTGGTGGAGATGAAGAGGATAACAGCTCTGAAATGTCCTCCCCAATACCTGATCTAGATGATTCCATGAGTATTCCTGAAATCAACACAAGTGAATTCAATACAAATCTGATTAACTCACAAATTGAGGAATACCACACTCAAGGCATCCAAGAAGTTGCTGAGACCACAATTGACCGGCAATTAACAACACGGTCAGAGGCTGCCTCTCGGGCATCTGATTTTGATGATATGTCATCAGGCAATGAAAGTGATGATGAAGCAAATTCTGAAAATACTGAGTCACCAACTGATGTCACTCGTTTCCTAATTCATCATCTACCCATCCAACTATCAAAGCTAAGAAATGAAAAATCTGAACTGGAGGAGAAAAACATGGATATGGAACAAGTCATTAGTGATCAGAAAAACTCGATTGTTGAATTAGAAAGGAGATTGAACCTGGAGAAAAACAAGAACAAAGTTTCCGCAGAAAAGGTGAATAGATAAATGGTAATTGAAATATTATTTTTTTCTCTACAAAATAATTTGTTTAGGCATGTGCACCGACATGCAAACAATTTGCATTTGTGATGGAAGAAATAGGAAAAGTACTTCTTTGGGATATTACATCTAATACGGAGGTAAAATTTAATAAAATTACTTTATTAACATTTACAAATACTTTACAGGGAAGTTCAGGAAACTTTACTTTACCAAGGGTTCCCAAGACTAAATTTTACTTTACCAAGGGTTCCCAAGACTAAATTAGCTTACAATACATCATAGCAAGGGTTTGTTTTCTACTCAAATTGGTCAACGGACTTCCACAGTCAAGTAAAAATTTAATTTCCCGAAAAAGTATTTTACACAATTTTATCATCTTTTCAGATGAAAATGTGCAATTAAGTTTTTGCCAAGCAGAAGGTTATTTTACTTCTCTGTTTCAAGGGACGTTAAGTAACAATCCTGCTGTGATGGAAATAGTAGTCCATGGGTCGGAAATGTTGGTCAAAAGGCGGAAAACAATATAAAGATTTTATGTATATTGTTTTCAGATCCCTCCGGCATTTTGGTTAACCTATTTTCCTCCCCAAGAATTGGCGAGTAATGAGACTGTGTTACCAAGCAGTATCCTGCGCGTTGCCGCAACTTCTGATAAGATGACGACCACGCTGCGCACAATCTGCTTCGACCGAGGAACTTACACACTGCATATAGAAGAGAAAACTGCTGGGTAACTTTAATTAAAAATCTTTAAAACAAAAACTTTGAAATTAAATCACAAAATCCGTTAAACAATGTTTATTCTCTTTCTTAAAGGCATAAAGACGACATCAAGATTCAACAATATTGATTTTTTTACTTGTTTACGAACACCAGAATATTTACTTATTTTCATGCATTCAAGTTTGTAACAACACAAATTTAAAGATCGTCTTCTACGCTCTCTTTATCAGACCCTAAAATTAATTTTTATTCAGGACATACGCGGTCAAACTTTTTATGGAAGATAGCAAAGAGGAGGAAAGAAATATTTAGTATTTTTAAGTATTGACAAATATAATTATTATTTATTTAATGAATTATTAACGTTTTGTTTTCCCTCGTCGTCTGAACAATATTCTAACTGGAACAATTATAAAATATCAGATATGAGTTAAAAAATGATATGATATAAATAAACAAATAACTTTCCTAAGTTTTTTTTCCCACAAAATGTTGACAAAAAAGGAAGTTTGATTTTTCAGAGTTAGAAAGGAGTTATTGCAAGCTTTAGTGGAATTATTCCATTGAAATTTGTCTTTCTTTCACATTCGTATTAGCTAAAAATATTGTACTTAATTCAACGCTACTTAAACACAACAGCATATATGAAATACATAATTATTCTTCTGAAAACTGGTTCTTATTTCCTTATCATCAATAATACAGAAATATCATTGATAGATTTAAAATTTCAAGTTTTCGTTGTTTCCCGGATTTTCTTATTCTGCAGTTTTTTAATGGAACTTGGAAAGTTGTACAGTTTTGAATATCCTAGTCCTGGGGACGAGTACTGTTTAGTATCCAAGTCCTGAGAACGAATATGATCTAGTATCCAAGTCCTGAGAACGAATATGATCTAGTATCCAAGTCCTGAGAACGAATATGATCTAGTATCCAAATCCTGAGGAGGAATATAATCTACTATCCAAGTCCTGAGGACGAGTATAGTCAAGTATCTAAGTCCTGACTCCTGAGGAGGAGGATGATCTAGTATCCAAGTCCTGAGGAGGAATATGATCTAGTATCCAAGTCCTAAGGAGGAATATAATCTAGTATCCAAGTCCTGAGGAGGAATATCCACTCTGAGCTTGTGAATATCCTCGTCCGTAGTACTGTCCATCAGTCCCATCACCCGCCGCTGCTCCTGAAATATCCATGGTAAAAACCAGGGCTCTTCTTATTTCTCTTTTAGATATTCAAAAAAAAATACCATAATCCAGAAAAAAGTTGACCCTTCAAATAAAAAATTGAGTTGGAATTCAAACCGTCAAACCGTCATTCAAACTGGAATTCAAATTGGTATTCAAACTGGAATTCAAACTGGAATTCTAAACTGAAATTCAAACTGAAATTCAAACTGGAATTCAAACTGGAATTCAAACTGGAATTCAAACTGGAATTCTAACTGGAATTCAATCTAGAATTCAAACTGGGAAATATATTCAAATTTTAGATAGACAAGATGTTTCAGGGCACAAGGAGCATGTATGTAGTTGTACACAGGCTAAGTGCTTTCAAACTGATGTTGAAATTTTCAATTTTTCATTTTATCTCTTTGTGTGCTATAAAGTATGGATATAATTTAAACTAAAACCCTGTGCAAAAAAATTATTCAACCTGAAAATTCTTTGAACAACTTCTCAACTTTAATCAAACAAAAAATTGCTCATGAAATATGTTTTAAAATTTTTCATTAAAATCATGTTTGTGTTCGTTTTCTCCCATAGGAAGGGAGAGGATCTTGTTTGCCATACAAAATTGCAATTTCCTTGAATTAGAAATGCATTAAAACATTGCAACGTATCATAAATTCAAGTGAAATTAAGCCATTTTTAATGCATTGTACAGTACCGTCCTTTTCCACATAGTCTATATTATGCAGTGAGCAAATATTAAGTTTAAATACTTTTTATATATTTGAAAGTTTTTTTCCCCTGCTAAAATTTTGTTGCGTAGTTTTTACCTCTTCAAACTGAAGTAAAATTGCCACGCAATAGATTACATTTTTAACTTTTTTACTTTCTGCCTCTTACGCATGAGTTTCTTTGACGCATCGTAATTTTGTGTAGAATTATTTCAAAGCTTCATAATCTGTTTTTGCATAGATTCAGTTTTACAAAAATATTTAGCCAATTTCTACGAATAAGTATTTTAATAATAAATTCACTGAACGAAGAGCAAGTTAATCCCTTTGGTTCAGTTTTATTTGCATATATTTTCTCTCAGGGTCAAAATTTTTCAAAGAGTAAAAAAGAAAATGTTTTCAAAATTAATCAAGTCAGTTGTACTGTACTGTACTGCTATTGTGTTTATTTACTTGATGCATTGTACTTAACTGCTACTGTGTTTATTTGCTTGTTGTACTGTACCGTAATACTATTTTGTTTATTTACCTATTGTAATGTATTGTACTGTACATGTGCGTATTTACCTGTTGTACTGTACTGTTATTGTGGCTGTTTACCTGTTGTACTGTACTGTTATTGTGGCTATTTACCTGTTGTAATGTATTTTACTGATATTGTTCTTATTTCCCTGTTTTACTGTACTGTACTGTACTGCTACTGTGTTTATTTACCTGTTGCACAGTATAATACTTTGTTTAATTACCTGTTGTACTATACTGTACTGTGTTGAGATACGTGCTGTGCAGTACTGTACTGTTTTAATCTATCTGTTTTAATGTACTGCAATGTTTTTATCTACATGTTGAACTGTACTATACTGCTATTGTGTTTATTTACTTGTTGTACTGTACTGTACTGCTTTTGTTTTTATTTACATGTTGGACTCTACTGTACTGTCATTATTTACCTATTGTACTGGACTGCTAATGTTTTTATTTATCTATTGTACTGTACTGCTACTTTTTTATTTACCTGTTGTACTGTACTGCTGTTGTGATGCGTCTAGGAACGGGTTTAAGTTCTCCTGCTGCTCTGGTGCTGCTTGATTCATTGGTTCAGTTTCAGAGTTTCGTCGGCTTTTCAGTTTATATCCAGACAAAGGAATACCGTGAGGTTCTAGGTAGTCTCCTTTCATTACATTCCTAGGATCAACATCCTCCCCCAGCTCGGTGGAGAACTTGCCCTCGGATATATTGTAGAAGTTAAAGATAAGGAAGATGACCAGGACCACGGCGCAGACCAGAGCGTAGGATAGAAAGATCAGCCCGGTTCCTGAAACAATATATATCTACATATTTTATCTAACTGAAGTGGCCGGTGTTGCCCAGGTTACACAAAGTTACTACCGCCATTTACCCGCTCTTGGTATTAAATTAAGACTTTAGCTATTTTTCTTCATAAAAGTCGACCCACTCAACTTTAAATCTTAAAACCAACGTAAAAACAGTTCTCCAATCAAAATTTGAGACTAATCGATTGGGTTCCTGAGTTATAATCGGACTAACAAACAAACAGACAGAGATAACTACTTTATAAATATATATAGATATACTAATTAGTGATTTCTGTTTTGGTGTCTTTTTCTTCGTTTATATGTCCTCGATCAGACCTCGAATTGCCTTAAAGTTTGATCGGACAAAAAAGGTGAGATCTTATTTGATCCTGGCCCTGACTTTTCAGGAAAATATTCCCAGCATAAGATTTTTCGCCAAAAATACTAAGTACACTACTACACAACTGGTTGAACATTTGCCGGAAGCAATTAAAAAAAATATCTAGAATTATTCTGCAACTAAAATATTAAAAATATTTAATAAACAAAACAGAAAAATTTGATCGAAGGATGCCCTAGGATTAAAGAAGTTAGCTGTTTACAATTACAAAATAAAAAAATATTCAAATGTGAAGAATAAAATTGACAGCATTACAAAATAAAGGAAGTCCCTAAAAAATGAAAAAAATGTTTTTACCGTAATTTTTGATAAGCATTCCTCCAAATACAGCTCCACAGAATCTACCAAATCCATGATGGATTCCCTGTAATATTCAAAAATATTGTTTGCCTGTAAATCTTGAGTTTAAAGTTTGTCTGTATAAAGATTAAAAATTAACTAATATATGGATATTGCAAATTGATAAAAGTTAGTTACTTATGTTGAAAAGGGTAAATCGTTTCGCAAAAATTTCGACTGTTTTCGTAATTTATTTGCTCGTGAAAAATGCAAAAGTTTTCAATTTTTTTTTGAAAAATTTCACTTTTTTGTTTCGCGAAAAAATGCGAAATTTTCGCGAAATAAGAAATGCGAAAATTTCGCGAACAAATTTTTAATTATGATATATCTAATAAAATGTCTAATGCTGAGCTCTCACAGTAGAGAATTCCCCAAATTTTTTTGCGCAATTAATTATTGCAACTATGGTTTTTGCGGATTTTTTCCCCCGCGAAATACGAAAAAAAAATTTCGCTTTTTTTCTAGAAAGTTTTCGGTCGCTGGAAACCCTAGATCTTGAACTTGACCGTTGCTCACAGAAAAATTAAAAGTACTTTAATACATCCCTGCGGAACGCCAACCCTAATTTTAGGGTTACCCACAAACAATGAGACTGTAAAGTTGACTGGGGTTGCTTATTCTATGATTAGACAAATAAACAAACAAGTTTTAAATTGTATGCAATCATAAATATATTTAACCAGACCGTATAAATTCCGTACAGTCGTCTCTGAAGTCTCATTCTTTGTTATTTACCCTGTATTTATGAAGTGTCACCAATTGTCCACAAATAAACCTGAAAAACTCCCTAAACTAAACAAAGACCAATCGGGAGAACTCCCTGAACTACACAAACACCAACCTGAAGAACTCCCTTAACTACCAAAAGACCAACCTGAAGTACTCCCTGAACTGATCAAAGGCCTACCTAAAGAGCTCCCTAAACTTCCCAAAGACCAACCTGAAGAACTCCTTGTGCTGAAGGTCTAAGAGCTTCATCAGTATTATGAGCGATGAAGGAGCAGCAAGCAGCCCAGACAGCAGCATGGGTAATACCTGAACCATTTTTAATGCAGTTTTTTTTTATATTCAAAGGAATTGAGTTTTTGCCACAAAGGAGTTGAGTATTTGCCACATTTCAAACTCACAACACAAACTCAAATTTAATAATACCTTTAACATTGCAATCTGGCGGTGTGAAACTGATATTTTAATCTTTTCTTATTTGAGCGAACTGAATTCATAGTTTGAAATATCTAAGGTCTAGAACATTGGGTTGCAAAGATGTAGGAATACGAAAACCAGAGTTTATCTTTGCAACCTGATGGTCTAAACCTTTGATATTTTAAAATCTAATAATCATTATTATGATCATTATTATGATCATTACTTACCCTGAATGAACTCAAAAGGTAGAACTAGCCAGGGTTCAGAGATCCAGTAGATATACAGGAATCTTACAACATTTCCCGCTAGGCCAGCTATCAAAACCTAAATATTTTACAGATATGGAAAAGCTTACATTATTTTAAAAGGTATAGAATCTATGGCACAAACTCTGATCTTTTGATTCCTATATCTTCGCAACCAAATGACGTATTTCTAATATAAATTCAGTTAGATTAAATAAATGAAGTTTGAAATATCAAGACTTTACCCAAATCAGGTTGCAAAGATAGATAAATTAGAAAATTTAGTGGTGTGGGAAAAGTTCAACTTCTGTGTGAATGTTTGAAATAATTTTTTTAAACTCTTTTTCAAGAATTTGCACTGTAACGGATGGCATACAAGAATAGATTCTTTAAGATTCTGAAAAACAGTCAAAAGTTTAACATTTGAGTGCATGAGTGTTTTATAAGATTATTGAGTTTATTTAACAATGACGTCTGCGGGTAGAATTATGACGTGTTTACAGCAAACTTTAAATGAAGCTTAATTATTTAACGAAGGGTTTGCTTCTCTGTTTGTTTTCAATTAGAACAACTTTTGTTCAAAAAATAAGTCATTGTCACGGCAACAATTCATAACAAAAGTCGTTGCATACATTGATAAAAAAGAGAAAACCTAAATTATGTTGGAATTTTACGCATATTGGATCTTAAAAAATATTTATAGTGGAACGTTTTAGGCCGATTGATAACCGACATAAATGGGAAGATCTAAAGGACAGAATGTCAGAAAAACTTTAGGTTCGTTTCCTCTATAGGTTTTACTGGAGGGTAGGACTATAACTGTTTACCCAAAGTAAATGTTTGCTATTTCGCATCAATTTTCTTCCATATTAAACATATTATCCGTTTAATTGTGCAGAAAGCATATAACAGAAATTTTCTTGCGCTCCGGAATTAAATGATTGCTGTCTCACCTTCACATGTCCATACTGAGAGATTATCTTGAAACTGTAAAAGTATGCCCCCATCTCACTTAAATGATTGATAACACTGGCAATACCAAATATGGTAGGATGACCGCCGTAGTCCTGAAATATAGAAACTTGAAAGGGTTATTTAATATTCAATTTTTTGCCTTTTAAAAAGCTTTTTGAACACACTCATGTTTCTTTTTTTTGTGAGTTATGGTTTACAAAGGAATTTAGACGTCGCACAAACTTTTTTTATTCCTGTATCTTTGCCATCCATGTCATAGAATTTAAATATTTCAAACTAAAGGATTCCATTTGAAAAACATAAGTTTGAAATGTCAAAGGTTTACACATAACACAGTCAGGTTGCTAAGATAAGGTAATTAGAAAATTTTAGTTTGTGGTAAAGACTAAATTCCTTTTGTTGATGATATAGATATTTAACAGGGTTGTTAACACTATTTGATCTTTATTTCAATTACTATTGCATCTTATGGCTCTCAAAAAGGTTATTTTTGAACACATTTATGTCAATTATATAAATTAATTAAGTCTTTGTCCCAAACTCTGATTGTATAGCCTATATCTAATTGCAACCCAATGTTGTAGACCTTAAACATTTCAAATTAAGAACTCTTTTAGGTCAAATAGTCTAAGTTTGAAATACCCAAAGGTTTACACCATCAGGATGGAAAAATATAAGGATGAAAAAATTTGAATTTGTGGCAAAAACTTAATTCCAATTTCTTTATGTTCTTGTTTTTATTTGTGTGTGTTATGATTTACAAAATTTGATGATGATTTTACTTGACGTGACGTGACGGTTTCCATGTTTTTATGGACAAATAATTAAAATATTGTTGAATTTTTTCCTTTATCTTTATCTAAATTTGCATTGTATAAACCTGAAGATGCCAGAAGAGAAATGTGAAAATGAGTCCAATTCCTATACCCATTACCCAGGCGACCAACATAAACAACATCAACCGGATGTTGGAAAACGCCTGAAATAAAAATTTATTATTTAGATATTTAAATAAAATAAGTGACGAAATAAAAAGCATGAAAATAATACAAATGTAAAAATATTATGCGCAGGATTTTAAAATTCAATCTCATCTATTAATATAAAGTTGTAATCGCTCAAATTTTGATTGGGGAACTCGGGAGAATCAGGTGAATGTTCTAAGCTTGGTTTTGAGATTCTAAATTAAGTGGGTCGTCTTTTATAGAGAACATTTAGTTGCCCGGTAAAGACGACGCAGTGAGGGTAAAAGGTGGGATTAACTATGAGTAACCTGGGTGGCGCCGTGTTCCCAGACCCAAAAATATCATTTATTTAAAAAAAAACCTTTCCACAATAACTTTCATAAACACAGATGTTATTTTTCTTTAAATATCGTTTCATTTCTTAAAATGAATTATAAGTTATACTCCTAAAACTTTAAAATGTTCTCCTACAAGTCGGGTATTTTCAACTGAAAACTATTTTCAATTAAAGCGTAAAAAATTTCAGTTATAGAATATTCATAATTTCAGCGAAATAAAAGAGGGCAGGTGCATAAAGGGCGGAAGTAAACTTGGGGAGGGGGCGGAGGAGGGAGGAGTGGTTATGAACTAGTTTGTCACCTTAAAGACTGCTGCGAACTCCGGCATTGTCTGGAGCTCCTTTGCGAAGTATTTGATCTTCTTTGCCTGGTCCTTTAGCTTCTCTTCGCTGGTCTTGTTCGGGGCCTAGATAGTAAACATTAAAATTATATTTGGCATGGAAAAATAGTTTTCATCCAGGGAATATGGGGGGCCCGAGTCCGAAATTTAAAAGAGTATCGTCGAACGAAACTCCCGAGTGTCCTTTTTGGGATCTTAACATTTTGTAGATTTTGATTCGAAAAAAATGGAGAATATAAAGAAACTAAATAAAATAGTATTTCATGACAAAAATATTGATATCCACAAAACTGACTGACCCCATTCGTCAAACCCGGGTTTTAAAACTGGTTTTCATAAGGATACCCTGTCTTAAGNTACGAAAATTTTCTATTCTAAGTCCTAATTAATTAAGTTTCATTTAAAATTTGTAATCCTTCAAGAATTTAATAATTCTAATGGAATAAAGAAACTAAACACTCACCAAAAAGTCTATAATTTTCTTATAATTCATATTCTGATGAAAAAGTTATTTTTTTCTGTATTTTCTTAGATAATGATATTCCTTTTAAGGTTTTTAAACACAAATAAATGGTAAAGTAAAATAAATTGGTAAGTACTAGAGGGTTGTGTATAGTACAAGTAAATAGACTAACCATTTATGATTTATTTCCGGTTCAATATTAAATCCCTCGGGGGGGGGGGGGGGGTTAATTTCCTTTAATTATAATTAATAATCGTAATGCAAAACGATTTTTCAAAAACAAAATCATTTTTCTCAGATGTTATTTTTAGGTTTCAAATTGAAAGTTTGTCAAATCTATTTGTATACAAATATAAGATCAAAAGAATCCTTAATGCATCTTTAATGGGTTGAAATGGTTTGTATATAAAAACTCGTAATGAATACTCTCTCAGTATGCAAAAAGAACACGTATTCCAAGCTTCGACGCTGTAAAGGGCTTTAAGCATAAATTCAAGTGAACCTCCATGCAAGAAGATGGTAATACCCAATTCACAACAGTGCCCTTGAAACCGTAAATATTGGTATATAATTCATACTTTTTAAGGGTACCGTTGTGAATCAGGCATTGACATCTTTGCATGGAGTGTCACTTACAGTTTCTTTAAATAAATCTTTTCTTAATGTCAAAAGGTTTTGAAACTGCATATATTTTAGACAGTACTTTTATATATTTTTATTATATAATACACAAGATGTTAATAAGCAGAATACAGGTTTTAAAAAAAGTTTCCTTTCTCCAGGAGCTGTTGGGTTGAGTTATATTTATTGATAAATGGAAATTGAAAAAACAACATTTTTATAGCTTGTAATAATGTCGTTACAAAAAAATGGTTCAAAAACATAATTAATTTTGTTTTTTCATAAACTGTAAATCGTTATCAAAATCTTAAATTGTTGTTGGTGTTTATAGATTAAGTAGCCATGTAACGCACCTCTGACCCTTTAGTAAAAGTAAATTCAACCTAACGTCTGACCGCGTCAACTTTGTTGCACCGGCTAGTCCTATTGAGTGTCTGCTTTGTTTTCCCAATGTCCGGGCGATACAAACTGGGACCGGAAAGGTTGACCCGGCTCGGAAATTCAAATGTACTACGGCAGCCCGTGATGTTCGTATTTCAGATAGGAGAAATTCATTTCACTTCCAAAAGAATTAATTTTATGCCACTAACTTTTCAACCCAACAGCATAGACCTTGGATATTTTAAACTATGAATTCTTTTAACCCTATCCCTGCTGGGGTACTTGAAAACCAGGATACCCCCCCCCCTCTAAATCACATGTTTTATGTCTAAGTATGACAAATGATACATCATTAGAAAGCTCTTGTGCTCTACTTTTAGAATGTGCAAAAAAATTTGCAAATTTGTGAAAATTGAATTTTTTATCGCAAAATCCAGTTTTATAGTAAAAATGTTTGCAAAAAAAAATTTGTCCAAAAAATGAAAAATTATACATTTTTGAAAAGCCCTTGACCATGCCATTTCAAATATGCAAAAAATTTTGCAAGATTTTAATTAACCTGATTTTTAATCAAGAAAAACTAAAAATGTGCAAATTTCCTTTGACAGGTTGTTTGCAAAAAATTTGCAATTTTTTTTCGCAAAACTTGTGCAATCCGTTTCCTTATGTCATAGGCTTTCCAAAAAGCTAAATTTTAACAAAATCTGACAAGTGAAAGTGGGTCAAAACAAAGATTTAGTTTGTTACAGGCAAACACAGTCATTCAGGCAGTGTGCCTGAGGACTCAGGCAGTTAGTATTAAAGCCCGGTTTTAGGCCTAAAGGGAGGGCTTTGGGTATGTAAGAAAAGTCAGAAAATTTCAACAGCCTCAGACCAATCCTTTTTGAGTTATGTAAAAAAAACTACAGGGGGGGGGTCAAATTGACCCCCCCCCAGCAGGAATAGGGTTAATGATTAAATCTAATAATCTAAGTTTGAAATGTGCTACAGGTTTACACACAGGTTAGAAAGATAAAGGGATTCGGTGTGTGTGGCAAAAACTTAATTCCCTTTTAACAAATGTTGTTCAAATCCCTCCGAATAAAGATGGCAATGCAAAATTCTAAAAGATTTGTTGTCTGAGTAAGCATGAATTAGGCATCAACGTTTATAATCTTTAAAAACTGATTTTTTTCAATAGTGACTTTTTCAAAAAAGTAACTTAAGTCCATTTTGACTGCAGGAAAACATATGGGAAATATCAGAATCAAACATATCCGCCCCTGGCATCAAAGAGAATCAAACATATCCACCCCTGGTAGAAAGAGAATCAAACATATCCGCCCCTGGCAGAAAGAGAATCAAACATATCCACCCCTGGCAGAAAGAGAATGAAACATATCCGCCCATGGCAGAAAGAGAATCAAACATATCCGCCCCTGGCAGAAAGAGAATCAAACATATCCGCCCCTGTTAGAAAGATAATCAAACATATCCGCCCCTGGCAGAAAGAAAATCAAACATATCCGCCCCTGGCAGAAAGATAATCGATATTTGATTATTTAAGATTTCTTACTGTTTAAAATTATAATTTTGTCAAACGTCTTTTCTAAATCTAAACTTGACAGTGCATATTTTTTTTAAAAAATGGTCTCAACACCATTATTTCGAAATGACACTATTCTGTGAATTTTTTTTTTAACACAAAATTTTACAAATGAATTAAGATACGTCTCCAAGCATAGGTTTTTGATAAATATCCCTTTTCTTTCCAAAATATAGTCAACTTTATTTTTAAATCTCAAAATAAACCAACAAAACAACCTTCTAAGGTCATGCGGGTTCATTGCACATGGTTTATTTTATGTTTTTTTTTAACTATTTCATGGTTTGAAGCTAAATTAAAAATGTATTCTTAAAAATCTTTACCTTCTTAGAATTGTCATAGTTAGTGTTCACATTCTGCATCGCAATATCATCAGGTTTACTCCCAGTGTACCTAATCAAAATTTACATTTTTAACAATTTAAAAAATATAGATTAATTGATTCATGAATCTTGATGGTAAAATATTTTGATACTTTTAAAGAGATCGTTTTTTTAAAATACACAAATATACGTATTTTAAAATTTAGGGTTACAAGTTACAACTATAATCTCATCTGAACGCTCAAAGATGTTACTGAGTTGCAGAATATAAAAGAGATCTGTATAAAGTGTTTCCTCAGAATACCGCGGGTATTTAGGTGAATCTGCTTGCAAAGGAATGTAGTCTTTGCTACAAACTTGAAATTTAATATTATCTTTTTCTCTGCAACCTGATAGTGTAAACCTTTAATATTTCAAACTTAGACTATTTGATCTCTAATAGTTTGAAATATTGATAGTATACGACATTAGATTGTAAAAATATTTGGGTTAGAAAATCAGCGTGTGCGGCGAGAACTCAGTTTTTTATACGGAAAAGCCGGTAGCATTTTTCTGTTCAAATGATAGAATTATGAGAAAATTATGTCAACTTGTAAATTAGAATTTTTGCTACCGAGATATCTGGTTGTATCCGTCTTTCATTATTTACAACTACTTCACAGGGAAGTTAAGGGAATTTTACTTTACCAAGGGTTCCCGTGGTTCAGAGATAGCGGATAAGTAGTTGTGCACAATTTTATTGAACGTTAAGTAACTTAACATCCTTCTGCTAAGGGAATCATGGATCGGTACTTTGTAATGTTGGTCAAAGGGCGGTACAAAAAATATACGCGTTTAATAATTCGAGACTTTCTTCAGCTCATCAATATTAAAAGGCTCAGTCATCTTTCTTAGAATTATAAATAAATTTTACTTTTTTCTTTACTTCTTTGGCAACTTAGAAGCTTAGAATAAATAACTTCCTGAATTAATGATAGAAAAGACAAAGAAAAACAAGAGAAAAGTTTTCTGAGCAGAAAATGAATGAATATATTTAGATACAGTGATAACTATAATTATCTTAACGTGCTAGGTCGACTAAACACTAGGTATACCAGACTGGAAGGTACGACTGAATGCATATACAGTACACGTTGTACCGTCTCGGATCATACAAATTTAATTGCGAGGTGTCGCGCAGATGTACATAGTATACACGCATTCCAGTTTATCATAGGTCGGGATGAATTTATGAGAATATAATAATCCTATGACCTAAACACTATACAGCGCATCTAATGTCCGCTACTATGTTCGGGTTCCTCGTCGAAATGACATATATCCTGCTACAGTTTTTTTTTCGTAGTTTTCTTAAATTCTAAAATAACAGAGCAAAAAAAGCACATTTGTCTGATTACCTGAAAGGAATCTGTGTAGCTACCAGGAAGGCGACGAGCATCATGAATGAGAACATGTAATAGCACACATTGTAGTTCCTCTCCCCTCTGCTCAGCTCACATCTTAATTTTATATAATTAAATAAAAACAAAGCTCAATTTATAAATATTGTTTTAAAACTCCAGTTTTAGCTATCATTTTTAAACTACATGCAAAGTTGCATGCCAAGCTATTGTTTTTAAAACTCAACCCCAAACTGTTATTCATAAACTCCATGCTATTGTTTAAAAACTCAACCCTAAACTATTATTCATAAACTCCATTCTATTGTTTAAAAACTCAACCCCAAACTATTATTCATAAACTCCATTCTATTGTTTAAAAACTCAACCCCAAACTATTATTCATAAACTCCATTCTATTGTTTAAAAACTCAACCCCAAACTATTATTCATAAACTCCATTCTATTGTTTAAAAACTCAACCCCAAACTATTATTTGAAAACTCCATGCTTTTGATTCAAAACTATGCCAGAGTACTTTTGTTTCGAGAGTACATATGCCGAAGTACCTTTTTGGTGGGAGTAAATATACTGGAATATTTTTGTATTAGGAGCACATATACTGGAATACCTTAGTGTTGGGAGTACATATACTGTTGTACCTTTGTTTGAGGAGTTCATCTACAACCTTTATTAAGGGATTACATATACTGGAGTACCTTTGAGTTAGAAGTACATATATTGGAGTACCTTTTTGAAGGGAGTAATTATACTGGAGTACATTTTTGGTGGGAGTAAATATACTGGAATATTTTTGTATTAGGAGCACATATACTGGAATACCTTAGTGTTGGGAGTACATATACTGATGTACCTTTGTTTGAGGAGTTCATCTACAACCTTTATTAAGGGATTACATATACTGGAGTACCTTTGAGTTAGAAGTACATATGTTGGAGTACCTTTTTGAAGGGAGTAATTATACTGGAGTACATTTTTGGTGGGAGTAAATATACTGGAATAATTTTGTGTTAGGAGTACATATAATGAAGTATCTTTGTGTTGGGAGCACATATACTGTCGTACCTTTGTGTAAGGAGTTCATATATTACTTTTATGTAGGGAGTACATATACTGGAGTAGAATTGAAACTACATAAACTGGAGTACCTTTTTGTAGGGAGTACATATAGTGGAGTACCTTAGTGTTTGGAGTACATATACTGGAGTACCTGTGTGTTGGAAATATTGTAGAATTATCTAGAACAATGCCCATGACGAACATACAAACTCCCCAGCCAATACTACCGAACATTCGCTGGGAGCCATATTTATCCTACACAATAGTATCATTATTATTAATGTTATTATCATACAATTACTATAGAAAGCTATTTATAAAATATAAAAATTGTTGGCGCATTAGGGGGCTGGGGTTAGAATAAGACACGATTTTTTCCACGAAATTGTATTAGCAAAGCAAAAAAATTTGGAATACTATTTTAACCCCCTCCTGGTTGTAAATCGGCCATGTATCTGTTTAAAGGATCCATGGTTATAAATCGGCCATGTATCTGTCTAAAGAATCCATGGTTGTAAATCGGCCATGTATCTGTTAAAAAATTAAGTCACTTAAAATTATGCGAATTTTTACTTTTCTAGTTAATTAACAAAATGTTTAAAATTGACAGAATTGTTAATTTATTCTTGAATATCTTTTAAAATGAACTAATTTATTCAAACTTGAGATTTAAGCACAGCAACTTTAATTATTAACTTTTAATTTAACGTTTATGAATTTTTTTCCATTTAAAAGATGTTTAACAAAATATTATTTATCTTTAAATGTGACGAACAATGATTTAATACAAAGGATAAAATATTCACAAGACATCGCAGTCCCAATTTCCGTAATCTTTAAACATTTATTAATTTACAAAATTTGAGAAAATAAGTAATATTATTTACCTGTCGTCCTTTCTGTGTATTCTTGTAGTAATCATCAAAGTGAATTATCTAAAAAGAAAAGTTTGAAGAAAACTTTTTCCTATCAAATTTTTAAAGTTTATTTAATTAAATCTTGAAAACGATTGTAAAAGTATGTTTTGGGAACAAGAAAAAAATATGTAATTCATTTTTTTTTGAGATTAAAGGCTTCTTTGTAAGCTAATGGAATTTACTTCTTGAAAGGGTTTAAGACATGACAAAGGAAAAAAATCTTATGCTGCATAAATTCTAAATTCAAATTTTCTAATGTAAAATATACAATGTTTCTGATGTAAAGAGAATTTGTTATAAATCTTTCTCTGTTGAAATCTATATATATAATACAGTGCTTGTATGTCTGTTTGTCTGTTTGTATACCAATAACCGTCAAAACGGCTGAACCGATCAGGCCCAAATTTTGTGTGGGGCCTCACATGACCGCAGGGAATGTTTATGAATGATCAAAATTTCAAAAATTAGACTTCAACAAAATTAGATTTTCATTAAACTTTGAAAATCCACGAAATTACCTTTATTAAATCCGCGAAACTTTTGTTGTTATTGTTTTACAATGAATACAAAGAGAAATGTTCACAATTAAAATATAGAAGATGTAAGACCTTGTCCTTCAAAGTATCCCGAAATGCTGTAAAAAATGGTTTTGCACAACGCATCTAACTGTCTGCGTTATACCGTGTAATTAACCTTTTAATTTCAAAACACGGGCAGCTGTAGTACATTTGAATTTCCGAGCCGGGTCAACCTTTCCGGTCCCAGTGTGTATTGTATCGCCCGGACATTGGGTAAATAAAGGAGACACTTAATAGGACTAGCTGGTGCAACAAGGTTGTCGCGGTCAGACATTAGGTTGAATTTACTTTTACTGAAGGGTCAGAGGTGCGTGAAAAGCGTAGTAACACTTATATCTTAAAAAAACTGAAATACTACATTTTTTGGCTGCAAATGGGTTCGAGAGTGAAGACTCAATGACGATTAAACCTTATTTTTCGGGAATTGAATAAAATAAATAAAACATTTCATTTATTTCTACCTGAGGGCTGGTCCCGACCACGTAGCCAGGAGACCATTTCTGTGCGTCATCATAATCGCTTCTTTTCTGACGCACTAAAGGTCCTTCAAGGGCGTAGACAGGCTCAGGGGCGAAGATACTGTTATCTTCCAATACAGCGGATACATCACGCTTAGATATTTTCTCCATATAGCTAGAGAAAATAAACAAATCGATTTTTTAATTCTTTAAATTGGATCAATAACAAATTGGAAAAGAAATGCAATGGTTTTATATTCCGTACTTGTTGCTCTTTACCAGAAGAGCAGAAAACTCTGGAAAAGGAAAACTACTTTTAAAACCAGATTATAACTTTAAAAAGTTCAATGAGAATGATACAGTTTTGTGTTTTGTAACAACAGCAAATACACCAAAGTATTGTTATAATGTCGTCTATCTATTTCATTGTTTTTTGGTTCAACTCACAATACTTTAACGGCTAAGCCGGAAATTTAAGATAGTATCTTTGAACGTTCCTTTTGGGTCTATGCATTTGCGTAGATTTTAATTTAAAAATCAGAAAACAAAAAAATAATGTAAAGAAACCATATGAAATAATACTTCTTAACAAAAATCTACAAAAATGCTGACCCCATTCAAGAAACCGGGTTTCATCAAGATACTCATTCTTAAGTTTCGGGCTCTTATTGATACTTGTAAAGTTGTAAAACGATACCTTGGATCCTTGAGAAGATAATGGCTGCCATTGTTATGTTTACATGAGACTACTGGAGGATGTATAAATCCTATTGGTAGAGTAAACAGAACCCAGCTAGCCACAGACATCAGGAGTAGAACCTTACCTGCCTGGAACCTAATATATATATATAGATATTATTATTCTATAAAACAAAAAATTCGTATATATGTTCCCTATAGCCGGTCAAACGGCTGGACCGAATGGTCATATTTTTTTAAGGAACTCGTGGGTAGCCCGGGGGTGACAAAGCATTATAAGCTAAACAAATTTTATAACCCTACTGGTTGAAGGGCGGCGAGGTACATTTGAGCCAAAAACTTTTCTTTTTCGAGAGGGTTCGAGACTTTTTTGATGAGATTTTTAACCAAATAAATAAATACACAAAAATGGCAAGCCAATTGTATTACATGTAATATAAAATTTAAACTTTTAAAAAGTACATATTAAAGAAAATCCCAAATATCAATGCTGAAAGATGATCATTCAAAAGAATGCGGAAACTTCATAGCAAAAAAAATCGCAAATATTTAAAGGTGTACTCAGCTGGGGTGATATTTTACTTTTAAACCCATAAGATAATAGTGAAAATTTTACCCCAGCTCAGCTGGGAATATATGGGTTTCACTTTCAGGATATGTTAAGTTCACCATAGATTAAAAAGAGGCTACCCAGTCTAAGATTTGTATTATTCAAAAATCGTTTTTTTTAATTCCACGATTTACGCTGGGCCCTTCAGCTAGTTGCTATTATTATTTTTATCATTATAATTTTAATTATAAAGTTTTAGATTTGTGAAGTCAGTGCTCTTTGTTTGTCTTCAAATATCATCAGTATAATTGTGAAGAATCTAAAATATATTTTTGTCTGAGAGGCTTGTCTAATTGTTTCCAATAAACGTTAAAGCTGCTCAGCACTAGTTGGGGTCTAAAAACCTCCTGGAAATCATAAATTTTACTAATCCAGGGGGGAAGAAGAGCTCCCCTGCCCCCCCCATGTGTACGCCTCTGAATATTGTATTGGTACCTATCAGACATCCCGTGCCAGAAAGGCGTGGCCAGGTATTCGATGATAGGGCGTACCCCTACTAGAAGACCACACTGGGCAGCATCCATACCCAGCCCCTAAATATTGATTTATGTTTTTTTCAGAGCTCAATAGCGATGGACATGACGTTGGACATGACCAAGAACATGGTAAAGTGTTTGGAGATGGACATGGAGATGAACATGGTCAAGGTCTTGGTGATGGACATGGTGATGGACCTGGTAATGAACATGTTGATCGGACATGGTGATGGACATTGTCATAGACATGGTCATGGACATGGTCATGGACATGGTCATGGACATGGTCATGGACATGGTCATGGTCATGGACATGGTCATGGACATGGTCATGGACATGGTCATGGACATGGTCATGGACATGGTCATGGACATGGTCATGGACATGGTCATGGACATGGTCATAGACATGGTCATGAAAATGGTCATGGACATGGTCATGGACATGGTCATGGACATGGTGATGGACATGGTGATGGACATGGTGATGGACATGGTCATGGACATGGTCATGGACATGGTCATGGACATGGTCATGGACTTGGTCATGGACATGGTCATGGAAATGGACATGGTCATGGACATGGTCATGGACATGGTCATGGACATGGTCATGGACATGGTCATGGATTTACCTTGAAGTATATGGACATCATAGGGAAGAGTGAACCGAAGGCTCCGAAGAAGAAGAAATAGAAGATTTTGGCAACTTTGAGCTCGTTTTTGATAAAGATAAATTTGGAGGTTGGAGCCTGAAAAAATTGTCGATTAGATGAAGTAAAGAAGATAAAAACTCTTCCGTGAAGTCAGGTGAAGCTTTTGTTTTAGTCTTAAAATAAAACCTGCAAAGCAATATATTGATTAAAATTGTAAATTATACCAAATAAATTATAAAGTAGTGATCTCTTTTGTTTATTTGGATGTCCGATCATAATTGTAATGAACCAAATGACTAATTTGCCTCAAATTTTGATTGGAGAAAATTGCAGGAATGTTCCAGCCTGGTTTAGAACAACTAAATTTTGAATGTTGACTTTTAATGTAAAACCGCCAGGCAAAGCTGGGTTCCCAATCTAGTATGCATATATTCTAAGACTAAACCAAGCTTCATTAAACAGTAAACCAAAGAAAATATTAATCTATGTACGTTTTTAAATACGCATATGATACATTTTGTTAACAAAAATATTAATTCTACTTTTTCAATAAGCACAAAATATAATTTTCGTATTTATAAGTATGGAATACAATTTTTTTAAATCTTAAAAAAAAATTCTTTAAACAAATTTCCCCCGGGCACCCGTGAGTGTCCACAAAAAATTTCACCCCAATCGGTTCAGCCGTTTGGCCGGCTATACGCAACATATATTCGAATATAGATGTTTTCACCTTGTTGAGAATAGACTCATTGTGTACATTATCATCATCATCAAAGCTAGGCTGTTTCCACTCGGGTAAACCAACAGGGGGCACATAATCATCTCCAAGATTCTAGGATGAAAATAATAAGACGAAATTATATAAAATCCTACATAGAAAGAGTGGTATATATATCTAACAATGGTTTAAAAACTTATCAATGAAGAAGGCTTCTAAGGTCTGCGAAATTGGGTTGTAAAGAAATAGGGATTAGAAAATTTGAGTCTGTGGAAAAAACTCAATTCGAATGAATAAAAGAATAATTATTATCTATATTACTTATACAAATATATACATTGAAAACACTGAAACGTGAAGAACACAAGGTCCAAAAACAGTTCTCTAGAAAATTACCACAAATTCAACAATATTTAACAAGATGGTGTATATATGTCGACCTACGCAAATCCGTTATACTCCACTTCTGACCTACGCCAAATCTGCTATACTACACATACGACCTACTAGCACGTGGTTTTGCTGCTGCTAGATATACTTGTGGCCGCAGCCCCCGGCCCCCTAGCCTTTCCTAGCCGCGGCGCTCGGCCCCATAGCTTGTCCTAGCCGCAGCGCTCGGCCCTGAATTTGTCTTAACCTAACCTAACCCTCAAATAATACCAAAAAAAATAGCTGGAGTAGGTCCGATATTGCAGTTATGACGAAGTAACATTATCGTTTAACAATGCACCGAATCTACGCATCAGTTATAGCTTATACGAACAACGAACGTTTTGAGCGTGATAAGGAAGAAAATAAACCTGAGCTTTGGTTTTCACTTTTTGAGGTCCTTCAGCAGAGAAAAGAGCAGCTCCGGTCCCCCCTGTATAGTAGTTCTCGTTCTCACCCATCCTCTCCAGTTCCTGTCGCTACCTGGAGCAGGGCTAGGACGGGTTCAGTGTTCCTGGTGTATCTTGAGCTCAGATCCAAGATCAGGAATGGTTTATGCCCCTGCTGATGTGAACACTTGGATTCAGCTGATTTTGGTCTCGTGATAGGAGAAAGGTTGGATATTCCCCCCCCCCCTCCGTTTCCTCTCCCCCCATTACAACCCTCAGCCTCGGTCCTGTACTCCCGGAACTGTGAATCCCTAAATTCTTCACCAACCACTGCTGTCATTTAATTCACAGAATTCATTGTTATTTCCGCCATTTGCTAAGAATATTTTGCGATTTTTTCTTGTTTAAAAGGTCCACGCGGATTTTTTCAACCTTGTGTGTTTTAGAAGACTTTAGATTTTGAATTTCAAAACTCATGAACTTTCATGAAAAGGAGGTTTTAACTCATCCTCCTGGTTTGGGGGGATTTTTGAAGATTTTAATTCTATTTTTAAAAATAATGTGTTGTTTTTACATTTCGAAAGTGAAATAAGTTTAATTTTTTTATAATTGAATCTTCAAAATAAGGGGGATGGAGGCTGTGAGCTCATGACTCATGGTAAAAACGGTTTCCGCACCTTTCAGATTCACTTGGCAGGGAACCTGTTACATATACACATCTTACAGTACTGCAGTTGTACAATCCACTTCAGCTACAGAAAATAGCTACAATGGGCAAATTTCTATTCGTAATTCTTACAATAGGTTCAGTTAGAGGCTGGGGAGCCCTCTTTAACAGGTTAAAAATATATATTCTTTTTAATACACTGTGAAGTTTAAAAACAGAAATATAATACATATATAAATATAGTATTATTACAAATAATGTATATCTATTTTATTTAAAGAAAAGATAACCGATATTATACTAAAATACGGTTAAGAAAAAAGACAGAAAAAATAGGATTTTATAGGTAGATATATAGTTTTACGAAAAATTGATCTCATTTAATAATTTGGGGTTTATTGACTATTGTATATGGTCTATTCTGTAAAAATGGTAAAAGGATAGTTTTTTTTTGAGGATTGAATTCAAAATTGTTAAAATTATATGTTTTCAAAAACTGCCTCTTTAAACACGGATTAACCTTAAATGCTAAATTTTATGTTTGTTTAAATAACACTTTTGTTGTCAAGTTTTTTACAAAAATTTTCTATTTTCTATACTTTACAATTGGCATGAAAGAATATTATAAAACATACAACAGTAAATAACACTTTTTTTGTCAAGTTTTTTACGAAAATTTTCTATTTTCTATACTTTACAATTGGCATGGAAGAATATTATAAAACATACAACAGTAAATAACACTTTTTTTGTCAAGTTTTTTACGAAAATTTTCTATTTTCTATACTTTACAATTGGCATGGAAGAATATTATAAAACATACAACAGAAAATTGTTAAAATATGAATTGAGTTAAATCAAAATTATTCATTAAAATTTGTAGTTGTGTATAATCATCAATCTGAAAACTGATCCTTCTTTCATCTTATTTTTTCTGTATTAATGCTAATTGGCAATCTCTCTGATTGCTGACGCGTAAAGAGTATATTCTGGCTTCATCTCAATAAAGAAATAAGTTAATCAACTAATCAAACGAAAGTCTTCTGTCAGGAATCATTTTCTTTTTTTTGTAATCCCAAATAGATTACAGATTGTACATGGTTACCCATAAAGGATTAAACTTCAGAGACTACTGTATGAATTGTTTATATTTTTTTCTTTTTTGATTCTGAAATTGATTCAGAGAATACAGGGTTCCTACAATAGATGAAACTTAGCAGACTACGGACGGATTTTTTGATGAGACTTCCGATATTTGAGAAATTTATGCAACCTTTTTTAAATTATTTATTGGCTTTTGCATCTTCAAACTTGTTGTGTTCTTTGCGAAAGCATAAAATACATCATTTCAATATATTATTCAATCGTTTAAGGTTGTTATGAAATCATCAACCTTGTTAGTAAACATTGTAATGTGTAGATGTAACTGTATATGTATATATATTTATCTATTTATCTATTCATCTATTCATCTATTTATCTATTTATCTATTTATCTATTTATCTATTTATCTATTTATCTATTTATCTATTTATCTATTTATCTATTTATCTATTAATCTATTTATTATCTCTTCATCTGTTTATCTATATATTACTTTATTTATTTATCTGAAGTATTTTTATACTTATCTATTTATATAAATGAATCCATATTGTTTAGGTTTAGTCCTGCTCTGATCCCAGCTGAGCAGCAGACCGGAAGTTACTACAACCTGTACACAGACAGCAAACACGTGGTTGAGGTAGGAAATGTAAAACCAGTTTTTGTAACTTGTTTATGTGGTGTAATATTGAAATATAGATTGAAAGTTTTCAAGTGTGAGATCAAACAGTTATCAATATATTATTTAGTTTACAGATTAACTAACTCCTATTTGATTTCCCATGATGTGATATATAGGAATTTTTCCAGGGTGGGTAAATAACATTTTTTTCCGGGGGGGGNNNNCCCCCCCCCCCCCCTGCTGATATAATATAATACAATGTACTTGATAATCTATTGTAATAATTCTGAATACTCTTTAATGTATATCATGCTGTAATCATATGTATTTCAATCTCTTTATAAATCTCAATTTCAATAAAGATTTTGTATTAAATATGTTGACCACGATACAAGAGTTGTTTTTAAACAAAGGATTTTTTCCAATTTTGATCTATGTTTTAACTAGTAATGCATGTATTGGATTGTATGTTGGTTGAGAATAATAGATATTTACAACTACTTTACAGAGCCCGCGATTTAAAAGCTTCGGTTCGAGTCGTAATTCCTTAAACCCGACTTTAAGACCCAATTCCATGAAAATCCACCAAATAGAATATTAAACCGGTTTTTAAAACTCAACTCTGTGGAAAATGAGATGCAGCTTGACCCGTCCGTATTTTCCCATTTTTTTTAAATCGCGGGCTCAGGAAAGTTAAGGGAACCCTAATGGTTCAGTATTATTTTTAATTTCCCCAAAAAGTAGTCGTAGTCGAGTACAATTTTATCGTATTTTAAGATTAAAATGAGCGAATTTTTTCACAAAAACTCACAAAACGGTTAGGTATTTTACATAGCTGTTCCAAGAGACGACGTTAATATACTTAACCTCCCGCTGTTGGTCATAGGACGGTACATAATGGTCAAAAAGTGACAAAGTGTCATGTTCAGTGGGAGACCCTGTAGAGAATAATCTTTAGCTGAGACCAAACTAATTTATTTTCCTAAAACCTGGTTCGGTGAGAGTCAATCTTTTTTCCAATTTTAAAAGTGTTCAGAAAATTACCCCCTTTATATCACAGGGAAATAGAAAAGAAAAATCGGATTTAAATTTTCCAGAAGAAATATAAATACTTATTTGTGCAATGATGGCGCACTAAATTGATATCTGGGACAAGATGTGTAAACACAATAAAGTTCTCACTGAAAAATAGATTTTTGATGTGATAATTCTTCAAAAAATTCATCAAAAGTTCTTCGTTTATTTCTACTTAGCTTTGACATATCTTTCAAACTTGATCAATGTCTTTTGATAGAAAATTTGAATTTTTTTTTAATATCTGATCAAAGTTTTAGTTCTAATAAACCCAGCCATTTCTTTCAGATTAATATGAAAATAGTTTAGCCAAAATATCTTTGCACATTTGTAATTAAAAAAAAAATATATTTTTTTTTCACTGTGAAATAAATAGAAATGGGTGGAGTATTTTTCACTGGCTTGGAAACCAAGCTTTGCATGGTGTTTTCCCTATACAATTAAGAACATTCCTATAGTTCTCACGACTTCTCCTATAAAAATTTGAGGCAAATCGGCCCAGGTGTTCATGAGTTATGATCGGACATCCAAACATCCAAACAGAGATTACTCATCGGTGTATATTTTTATGAAAGTCCCCCCCCATGGGGGGGAATGGAATGATTTTTAATAAATTGGGGAGAAAAAAGAAAAATGAGACATCGAAAGGCAAGTTTTTTTTTGTTTTTTTTGATACTTTTCAACCCCAAAAATTATTTATTTTCCCTAAAAAATTATTTCTTTTCCTCATTTCAGCAAAAATACGCTAAAATTTTGTTAGGAAGAAATATACCCCTGAATTTATATATTAGGTAATTTTATGAACATACTAAAAGTTATATTAAAAATTAAACTTATTATACAAACTCAGGTTACAATTGCTTATATATATAATAAAACGTAATTAAAAACCTAGAAATTGACCACACTATGAATAGTTAGAAATAATTACAGTTTAACATGAAACCTGTCAAAAGTTTCAGAGGGTNATTCTCTTGTATAGATTAAAGCACCCTGCCTTCATATCCCATTCTCTTGTATAGATTAAAGTAGCCTGCCTTCATATTCCATTCTCTTGTATAGATTAAAGCACCCTGTCCTCATATTCCATTCTCTTGTATAGATTAAAGCACCCTGTCCTCATATCCCATTATCTTGTATAGATTAAAGCACCCTGTCCTCATATTCCATACTCTTGTATAGATTAAAGCACCCTGCCCTCATATCCCATTCTCTTGTATAGATTAAAGCACCCTGCCCCCATATCCCATTCTCTTGAATAGATTAAAGCACCCAGCCTTCATATTGCATTCTCTTGTATAGATTAAAGCACCCTGTACTCATATTCCATTCTCTTGTATAGATTAAAGCACCCTGCCCTCCTATCCCATTCTCTTGTATAGATTAAAGCACCCTGTCCTCATATCCCATTCTCTTGTTTAGATTAGAGCACCCTGCCCCCATATCCCATTCTCTTGTATAGATTAGAGCACCCTGCCCCCATATCCCATTCTCTTGTATAGATTAAAGCACCCTGCCCCCATATCCCATTCTCTTGTATAGATTAAAGCACCCTGTCCTCATATCCCATTCTCATGTATAGATTAAAGCACCCTGTCCTCATATCCCATTCTCTTGTATAGATTAAAGCACCCTGTCCTCATATCCCATTCTCTTGAATAGATTAAAGCACCCAGCCCTCATAACCCATTCTCTTCACTCTTTAGTATCAGATTATAAAAGTGTAATAGCTCTGAGTTCTTCTAAAGGATAGGGGGGAGGGGGGCACTTCCCCCCTGTGTACGCTCTTGGAAAAGGATTACTTTTATTAAGGAGATTCCAAACTTCTTAAAATTCTATTTAGCCTAAGGATATAAACTATAACATGTAAAGTAACAATAAAAGTTATTATTAAGGATTTCGTGAGTAGACTTATTAAACTTTTTCAATAATATGTTTTTGATCGACCTTGATTATTTTTCCTTTTTATTGGAATCAAAGCATGTGAAACCAGAGTCAGATACAGGAGTTTACTAGGAGTGACTCAGCATTTTTCGTATCACCTACCCCCCCCCATGATTTAGGGGTGAGTATCTTTCAGGGGCTTACATAAAAAATATCTTTCTATATTAGAAGTGAGTTTTAATAATATTTAAGATACATTTTGCACGGACAGTCCCTTTACTGATTTAATTAAATTCATTGGTTTACCGTTTTAAACTAAACAAACACTGATTTAAAGGGAGTGTTCGTGAAAAATGAAAGGGGTATAGGCTTAATGCAATAAAAAAGCGCTTTTAATTGCTACTAATATTACTTCTATCTGTTGCGTCTACAAGGAGAAAATTGTTAAAAACAACTAAAACCGAAGAACGTAGTGTCCATACAAATTCAGAAAGATGCAACATTCAACTCGGATCGTAAATAAATCAATTAATTCCAAACAAATCATTCAGATATTACAGACAATAGTCATCGATTATTTTTCGACGCATTCGTAAATAGTTGATATTTCATAATATCTTGTATTTTCATGATCTTAAAACATTTATTCCTGTTAAGAGGATTTTTCAGTTTCATATTTTCCAGGAATGTTCGAAAATCCAGCGCCAGCAAAAATTATTTTTAAAAAAAACTCAAAATATTATGAAAAATTAAGTATATACGAATTTTTATCGCATTAAACCTATACCCCCCTTCATTTTTCGCGAACACTCCCTTTAAGGCACACACAAATTTTAATTTTATGACCCTAAAGCATGGGACCATTTTTATGAAGTGCGTCCCGTTTAGCAAAATGATTTTTTTCATTTTATGATCTAAATTCATCTGTTAGTTTTGCAATATTTAAAAAGAATAAAAAGAAAATATATTTTCATGCGTTTTTTAAGGCAAATGTGTAGCCTTGTAGGCCATCCACGGTTTCCCTTTTATTTTGTTTTGTAATTAAAAAAAGGAGTCTTCGTCACAAAATCTGATTTTCTAATCCCTATTTCTTTCTTTACAGCACAGTGATTTATAATACATTAGATATTTCAGACTTTGAATTTGTCTGATCGAATAATCTAATTTTGAAATATCTGATGTTTAAACCATCAGGTTGCAAAGACGTAGGGGTTGGACAGTTTTAGTCTGATACAAAAACTTGATTCCTTTGGAGGAAAAACCATTCTTTACGCTAACCCCATACTCAATGGGACACACTTCCTTAATTAAACAACTTTCATGCTTTTCTAAAGAAAATTACCCCGTAATGGCTTGAAGTGTAATAAAAGTAATTACTGTAGTATATTCTCGGACTGAATTCCAGGCCAAGAATAATATTTCAAATTGATAAAATAGGTTCCCTCAGGCAACACTTTCAGGCCAGGCTGACGTCACAAAAACTTTGGTGTGATGTCACAACCCCCCCCTTCAAGCCCTGGTCCTTTTTCATTTTATTCTAATATTTCTTTTTTTCTCTTTTTATTCAAAATTTTCAACATTAGCTGGCCCACCAGTTTTTTATGGTATTGCTGAAAGTTGATGAGAAATTATTCATTTATTTGACATATTTAGGGCAATAATATAATAATATTTAGGGCAATAATATAATAATATTTAGGGCATATAATAATATTTAGGGCAATAATATAATAATATTTAGGGCAATAATATAATAATATTTAGGGCAATAATATAATAATATTTAGGGCAGTAATATAATAATATTTAGGGCAATAATATAATAATATTTAGGGCAATAATATAATAATATTTAGGGCAATAATATAATAATATTTAGGGCAGTAATATAATAATATTTAGGGCAATAATATAATAATATTTAGGGCAACAATATAATAATATTTAGGGCAATAATATAATAATATTTAGGGCAATAGTATAATAATATTTAGGGCAATAATATAATAATATTTAGGGCAATAATGGAACTTTTGTGTTTGAACTGCACGCACAGTTTACATTGTATTAGATGGAACTTGAGGAGTTTGTCTTTCAGAAGGTTTTCTTCCATGAATTTTTCTGTCAGGAGATTGTCTGTCAGGAGTTTGTCTGTCAGGAGTTTGTCTGTCAGGAGTTTGTCTGTCAGGAGTTTTTCTGTCAGGAGTTTTTCTGTCAGGAGTTTGTCAGTCAGGAGTTTGTTTGTCAGGGGTTTGTCTGTCAGGAGTTTGTCTGTCAGGAGTTTGTCTGTCAGGAGTTTGTCTGTCAGGAGTTTGTCTGTCAGAAGTTTGTCCGTCAGGAGTTTGTCTTTCAGAAGTTTTTCTTTCATGAATTTGTTTGTCAGTAGTTTGTCTGTCAGAAGTTTGTCTGTCAGGAGATTGTCTGTCAGGAGTTTGTCTGTCAGGAGTTTGTATGTCAGGAGTTTGTCTGTCAGGAGTTTGTCTGTCAGGAGTTTGTCTGTAAGGAGTTTGTCTGTTAGAAGTTTGTCTGTCAGGGGTTTGTCTGTCTGGAGTTTGTTTGTGAGGAGTTTGTCTGTCAAGAGTTTGTCTGTCAATAGTTTGTTTTTCTTGAGCTTGTCTTTTAGCCTTAGTCGTTTGGCAATAGGCCATAACCAATTTTGCAAATAGATTATAAGATAAAAAGAAAGCAAGTATTCCCCTTTGTAAAATATTTAAGTTCCGATGCATTAATTCCTAAAATGTTAAACTAAATTACAAATTTTACAAATTGACATTTCCATACTTGAGATTCAACCAGTTAAAGAGAAATTTCCATAGAATTCCAAGCCATGGACGATTTCTTGTATTTTGAGGATTCAAAACAGAAAAATCCTGAAAGATGGTTTTGCAAAACTCTAAATGATGCAAACTTTTTTGTTGCAAGCTGTTAACCACGAATAGCAAAGTATAATTCAGTTTTAACTTTTAATGGTATAAGTTCAACTTTTAACTTTCTATAATGCATTATTTACAATATTTGATATTTGGGGAGAATAAAAGCTAACTTTTTAATGGATTTATTTTATTCTAGTTTATTATACATTAACTTCTATCTGTTGCGTCTACAAGGAGAAAATTGTACGTTTAGGACATTAATTTTTAAAATACCCCCACGTTTAGGACATTAATTTTTAAAATACCCCCACGTTTAGGATATTAATTTTTAAAATCAAATTCAACAGAAACCATATTGGAGTAAAGATTTAGATATTGAAGATACTCTGAGAGTACTTACTAGTAGTTATGGATATATTGGATTACATATATCAAATTATTTTAAGTATTTTTCGAAACAAATATACCGGGTATCAAGTTCTACATATATTTGTATTCAGTTTTAATATTTAAAATAAAAAAGAGTAAATGGTATTTTGTAATTTTACAAATATAAAATATGTCATGTCTCGGCAAATTGATTTTATATCAATAATGGACATTAGACATTAGACATTAGACATTGTGCTTTTGTAAATATGCAAAATGTCATGATTTATATCATCAAGATTTGACACAGTAAATTACCTAGATATAAAGGAATGGAGTCTTTCTCACAAACTCTTATTTTCTAAAACCTTTGAAACTAAAGGTTGTAGACTTTAGATATTTCAAACTATGAATTCTGTTAGATCAAAAGATCAAATGTTTAAGTTTGAAATATCAAAGGTTTACACCATAAGGTTAGAAAGATTTATGTATTAAAAAATTGGAGTTTGAGGCAAATTTCTTTGTTTATAGATTGCAATTGAACCGAAAAATTAAATGAAAATTTATTTTTTCAGCTTTGATTGCCAATAATTTAAAAAATATTCTTTTTTTTAAAGTTGGTTGCCCTGAGTATATATTTAACCCTGAAAAGAAAGGGTAGAAAAGCATAAATAGTATTATTGAGTATTTGCTCGAGATATTTATTCAACATATTATACATTGTCTAAATTCTTTCTCTAATGGTATGTCAATATAAGCTTAGCTACCCATATAAGTAAAGAGGTCCTGAGAGATTTAGGTTGTACACTTTTTATTAGGTTAGTCTATACAATATCTAATATAAAAAGAGTAATATAGAAAATAGAAAAGAAAATTTGGAATAAAGTTTTTTTACAATAGCTGTATACACAAAGTAAAATTATTTTGAAATTTAGTAAAAAATCATCTTTTAAGCAGTTAGTGATTGTGAAAATTACAAAGTTTTTTGGGTCGTTTTAAACATACAAAAGTCCGCAAAAAACATCTTACTTTTTTTGTATTTTAAAGTTGTGTGTTTTAATAGTAAAAATTAAACATACCCTTATAAAAACAAAATATTGAATAAAACTGGTGATGATGATGATGATGATGATGATGATGATGATAATGTTCTAGGAGCCGAGGATGTTGGCCAGGAAGCTGGAGGATCTTGTCGCTAACGAGGTCAGTTCAGTGGAAGACAAGTTTACCATCTACCATCCCACCTCTACCATCCCAATACCACACATATTATTTGGGGAAATTATTTTTGAGTTTTGGAGGAAAAATAATTGTTTTCTATTCATCTGCAGAGATTCTTCCTCTTTGCTTTTTACCCAGTAATTTTTTCCTTTTCCCTGAATATCATTTATTTTGAATTAGACTTTTGAAGAGAGAGGGAGAAAATTTTTTCAAGAAAATATTTATCCCTTGGGAAAAATAAGTTCAATTTTTATTTATATTTTAAGCCACTATTCACAAATCCAAGGTTCGTAGAGTAAATCATTTGCTATTCTGTCAGAAATGTTTAAATTTTGAACTAAAAAACTAGTTTTAATTGAATAATAAATGTACATATAAATTATGAATCTTTTCAAGCACCTTTTATACCAAAAGTAAAAGATAAAAATATTAACAAATAAATCATATATTATTTTTTACCCTTCCTAGCCCCCCACCCTTTCAATTTTTCGAGAACGCTCTCTTACAGAATCACTTGTAATAACGTAATAATGCATTCATCTTTCTTCCAAGAGCTTGTTATTCCTAAACTAAGTGAAAAATGAAACATGATTAGGAAAATAGGAAAGTGTGTTTGGATCCCTGTAAAACCTCATTAGTTATACACTCTCTGGTTCTCAACTCTAATTGGAGGATAACAAAATAGAAGAGAAAATTTCCATTTTTGCAAAACTTTGGAGTGTTAGAGGAGTATATACGTCAGAAGAAGAAAAATAAAGAGTAAAGGAAAAAATATTATATTTTTTCTTTAACACAGCTCAATATCAAAACCTGATGAGAGGGGAGGGGCCTAATACTCCTAGTCCAGCAAAGTTCCCAAAAAAAAGCCTGTCTACTTTTTTATTAACGGAGAACAAAACTCCATAACTTTTTTCACTTATTAAAAATTGCAGACCAAAATAAACGAAAAATTAAACGTCGTTTCTCTGTCGTTAAATTAGGAATTTATTATATTTTTGAAAATGTACATTGTACACTGTACAGGGCACAAACAACAAAATCATTTGCCACGTTTCATGTTTCCTGGTATAGGACTATAGCAGTGGTCTTTTGTCACAGAGATAGCTGATTTTTTAAATGAGGACGGGGGGTCAAGGAGACATTTCTTAAGATTGCATCACTGTACTTAATGTCTCCCTTGTTTCCTCTTTTCCGGTAGCGTCTGATCCAAACAGAGTTCAGTCTCATGCTTTGTGATGATTCAGAACCATTAAAAATAGCAACGGCGGTAACAACTATATATCAATCCATCTCATCATCCAATGAGAGATGAATTATGAAGTCAGGGATAAATAGGAAACGGAAATGTTTATTTCTACTCAAACAAGGATCTTGGTTTTATGTTTAAGAAAAGATTATTTTTCCAGGTGAAGACAGCCGAATCTGATCCCTGTTATGAGAAGAAGTGTACTAGCAACGAAAACTGTTGTGACGGAAGTGTTTGCATCGACATTGATCTGCAAGGTAGAACTTAAAGGGACTGTCCTTGTATTTTAATAAGATCTTAATTTTAAAGAGGGCCATGTCCGATTTACAACGGTACTCTTTAAAAATGCACAAATCCAAAATTAAATTTGTTAGCAAAAATACGCAACAAAATGATCGATTTCACAGAGAAAACATGGATATCTTATTCATTCTTGATCAGACAAAGTTTTTCATGGTACCGTTGTACATTGGAAATGAACCTTTATAAATGGAGGATCACTTGAAAGACAGTTTATTTACTCAATTAATCAACGTTTCCAACACGGTGGCATCAAAGTTTCAAGATGTTTTGAAATAAGATGTTTTGACGGAGTAAAGTTGTTTTCATGACTTGGTAATGATGTTTTCAGTCGACATACAGCTTTGTAAAGAAGGAAGAAAAACAAAGTTCTCCAAATCTTTTCAAACCTTAAACTTCCTTAATTAAATATTGTACTGTCGAAAAATCCATGGTTCAGTTACATTTGCCATAATACTTTTGCCATAAATACATTTGTCATAATTACAATTGCCATAATACGTTTGCCATAAGTTACACTTGCCATAAATTACATTTGCCATTATTTACACTTGCCATAATGGTTACACTTTCTATAATTACAATAAATAGTAGTTACAATTACCAAACATATATGTATTTTTAATAAACAACTACAATTAACAATTAAACCGAACATTTCCAATATTTCACATTTATAGACTAAGCATTAGCTACGCGCACGTGTAGTTATAGTTGTACCAAACCATTACTTTACCCTTGCTTGTGGACTTGAAGGTGACCAATGCAAAGGGTTCTCCATTCAGAAAATACGGAGCCTAACTTTCTGCTTTTAACTGGGGAGAAAACTAAACTTGGTTTCAAAAGGAAATTTGGCACACTTTCAAAAAAAATCTACAGAATTATTTTTCTTGTAAAAATAATAAAATTATGGCAAAAGCAATTATGGCAAGTGTTACTTATGGCAAAAGTATTTATAGCTTGTGTAATTATGGCAAAAGAATATTGGCAAATGTAACTAAGGCTTGATTCTCTTGTATGCTCAACATCTATATTTTCTATATTATTGACAATAACAATTTTTTAAGGCTTTGATACAAGATTGTTCAAAAATTCAAATAATAAAATTTGACGACACATTGAATTTAAATCTTTTCTTTCTTTCTTGGCTCTACAGTTTCAAAAATTTAAAAATTTAAAAAACTATAGAAATCTAGTCTTAAATCTTTGATTTTCTAACCCCTTTATCTTTGCAACCAAATGTCAACCTTAGATATTTTAAACTAAGAATTTTGTCGGATCAAAAAAGGTATGTTTGAAATATTAAAGGTTTACATGTACATGGTTTACACCAGCAGTTTGTTCAGAAATAGGGATAAGAGAATATTTGAGATTTTGATTTTATTATTATTATGATTTATTTGTCGAACACATAGATATATCTATAATTTAGTTAAATACTAATTAAATTAATTTAGCTGTTGGGACCTGCATGCCCCTGTACGGCCGGAAGGAAGGTGAGAAGTGTATGAGGAACAGTGACTGTGAGACCGGATATGTTTGTCAGGACACGCAGGAGGGCATGCAGTGCCAGGAAATAGTCCCAGGGGTAGGACGCTTCGGTGAGTAGTTCTTAATTATTATTATTATTATTATTATCAAAAATATTATTATTATTATTATTATCATTATTGTTATTATTATTTTTATTATTATTAGGAAATGATTTAATATGATTCCTGAAATAAACAATTCTGATCCTATCTTTTATGTTTTATTTTAATGCTTTCATTTGATTTTTACAGAACTAAAAAGATATGGTCCAACTGTTGGTTATAGAATCACATAGAAAACTTGAAAGGGGGCAAAAATTTTACTTCATGAATCCTGTGGACAACTTTACTTTGAGGAAATAGAAACCCAAGAATCAAGATAAAAAGTGTCTACCCCTCCTAATTATTTTCATTTAGTATTATCATAAACATGGTGAGTAAAACTAAAAAAACCTCGTAATTATCGATGTTTTGGACAAAATTTTCAAAATTTTTGTTTGCTTTTGATTTTATGCATAGTAAAATTAAAATGTAATATTTTGGAACATTAAAAAAATCACTGAAAAAAGTAGATATATAATTGTAAATATGTAATGTAAACCCTGCATGAGTTCCCTATTCCCTTCAGCCAAATATCCGAATATTAAAGAAAGTAAATAAACCAACAATTAGAGAAATAAACATAAAACATGTTTCTGAGGAAAAAGAGAAGAATAGTTTACATATGTACATGAACATTGCATGTACGTGTACATAATTTTTAAAAAAGTGTGCTAAAGTTTTTAAATTTCCAAGTCTAGAGCTAAAAAAGGTTAAGATGAATCAGGTAAAATCAACGGCCTAGGCGTTGCGACCCAGAGTAAAAAACTGATACAACTTTCCATATTAGCCTGCATCTTTCCTTCCATAATCTGATTCATTAATTCTACTAAATCCTCTTGAACCTATAATCTATTCCATTTATGTACACCATTAGCATTTATTCTATTCTTGTTAACACTGTGATCCTGCAGGCTACATTTGTTGCGTAACACGTGTTGGATCAACTTTACACTGGATAGTCCATACTGAATGCATGTACAGTACATGTTGTACCGGGTAGGATCGTACAACTTTTAGAGATGGGTTGTGTTATCGGCCAAGGACAGTTTGCTAAATCGAAAACTGCTATAGATTTAAAAGGACTAACACAGCAGACAGGGCCGTAAATAAGGACTTTTTTTTCTCCTCCCCCTAGAAATTTTTTTACCCCCATGCACCCCCCAGACCATGTAGAACCCAATCATGATGTATATCAAATTATGGGTTTTAGCTGGGTTTCAATTCAATTTCCCAATTATTTCTGGGATTACCAAACTCTATCAAATAAAAAGCTTCCTTTACCACCATTATAAATTGAGACTATTTAAAGAGCTGATGAAATAGCAAATCCACCGATGTGAAAAATCCGCGATAATCCGCCACCTTTATTGCATTGTTTTGAAGAATATTTATCATAAAGAAGATTAAGGACATGAAGGAGGAGTTGGTAAAAATGCTTTCATGATAGGTTCTACATCTAAAACTTCCATGCCATTTATAGTTCATATTTTCTCCTGAAGAGCCTTACTGGAAAAAATATTTTCATACATGCAAAGAGACTGCCTTTGGAACAAGTGTTTCTCATCCAATAACCGAGCTTAAATTTAAAACCTACTTTTTTAATTTTTAAAATTCCCCCCTTATATACGCTACTAACAGTAGTAGATCATTTAGTCTTGTTGACAGTTTTTTGAAGATCCACCCAATCAAACGAGCCATGATCTGTCAGATGTACGAGGTGAAATGTACAGCCAAACAATTTAACAAATTAAAATATAAATAGAGAGAAACCCCGTTTTGATTATGATGCAATATAAGTATTTTAGAATGCACCTGAAGACAAATTATAATATACTTCTCTTCTCCCTTCTCCGTCCTGTCCTGTCTCCTGTCTCCCTTCTCCGTCCTGTTTTAAGCATTAAAGCCCACATTTCTCCCCTCCCCTTTCCCTTTTACCCTTCCATTCTATTTAAATTCGGTGATAGCGATGGACCAAACCTCTGTAGAGTAAAAAAGTAGATGTTCGTTCCACATTTATTGAAAATATATTTCAGTCTCGGTTGACCCTCGTCAGTTCTTGAGATTGTTTCTTCACAAAGATTAAAAACAATTCTATTCAGTCCTACCCTTGTCACCTCCTTTATATTAAACCCTCCCCCCCCCCATTAAACCTTCCCTCCTCTTTACTAAAACCCTGTACCCCTTCCCCTATCACCTCCATTATATTAAACCCTTCCCCCTGTATTACTCCTTCCCTCCTCTATACAAAAACCCTGTACCCCTTCCCCTGTCACCTCCATTATATTAAACCCTTCCCCCTCTATTACTCCTTCCCTCTTCTATACTAAAACCCTCTACCCCTTCCCCCTTCCCCCTGCCACCTCCATTACATTAAACCCTACCCCCTCTATTAAACCTTCCCTCCTCTATACTAAAACCCTCTACCCCTTCCCCTGTCACCTCCATTATATTAAACCCTCCCCCCTCTATTAAACCTTTCCTCCACTTTACTAAAACCCTCTACCCCTTCCCCCTGTCACCTCCATTTATTCAATCTATGACAAATTGGCCTCTAGAGTATAATATTTCACGATTATCAGTGTTATAATCACAATTAACTAGGCTAACATAGCTTTACCTTCTCAATGCAATATAAAACAAACCTTTGATAATAATTAGGAAAAAAGGTTTTATTTCGCAAGACAATTTTTATCCAACCAACATGGTTTTCTATAGTTATTAACAATACAAAAGGTTCGGCCTCTGAACTCTTTTTAAACTTTGTCTTACTGTAAGAACCAGAAAACTATTGCATGAATGTCATCTTTGCTTTTCTTTTCATTAAACAAAGGAAATTAGGTTTTGCCACAAACTTTTTTTAATCCATACACCCTTGCCATATATCTCGAAGACCTTTGATTAAGTTCGAATTTGTTCAAATGTAATAAGTTTGAAATATCAAAGGTTTACACCATCAGGTTAAAAAGGATTAAATCATTTTTGGCAAAAACTGAGTTCCTTTCATCAAGGATTTTTGTATTTGCAATCCATGTTTGCAAGATATAAAAATCCACAGCGTCATTTAATACTTGAAAGAAAAAGAAGAGGATGAGAATTCCACTGTTTTCTGATTCTCACTGCATAGTTTTTAATAAAGGAACTGTCAACATGTCTATATTAATATAATAATAATGAGGTGATGAATGCCGCGAGTCTGATGATTGCAACATCCATCTTGGACTCTGCTGCAGACTACAAAGACGACAGAAGATGCAGCCCAAGAAGGTTAAAAATATGGCGGAAAACAGATTTTCATTCTTGTGATTGATTAAAACATATATTAAGGATTATTGATTATTACAATTAAAACATTGTAGGAGTAATGTATATACTACAGTATAGGCTTCAGTGATCATTTAAACTATTTAATATCTTTATACAGAAATAACGGATAAAACTTTCAAAACTAAAAATTTGTCATATCCTGAAAACGACGATGTCTTCAACGTTACTGATCAGGCTACTGTGCTAAATTGTTTTGTTTTGGAAACACTTTTTAACGTCGTCTTTGCCTCAAATTTTCATAAATGTCGTCTTTATTTCTAGTTCTGTACCTACTTCACTGCTTCTGATGTCTGCATTGGCCCTGTAGAGCACACCAAGGTAAAATTAAAGGGAGTGTTCATCAATTTTGACAAAAATAAAAAATCGGTTTTGGATTTAGATACCTTTTAGCCAACAATGGTACCTGTTTGTCTGGAGGTTAACAATTAATATAATATTCAATATTTTTGGTCACAATAATCATAGCGTTTATTCCAGAGACACCAGTTTTCTTGTAATTTTCGGGGTTATTTTTTTAAATCAAATTTTGAATGAAAAATTCGAATTTAGAAAAAAAATTAGATTTTAAAAAAAATATTTCGAATCTTGAAATGTAAAAAAATGTATATCATGAAAAAAGGTTTTTAAATGTAGGTCAATGGTGCTTTCATGTATGTAAAATTTTTTTTAAGAATGACAAAGTTATCACGAAGTTAGTGTTTTTGTACAGAGATTACAACTTTTTTATAAATATACTATAAAATGTAAAAGTCAGATATTGAATTGTTTAAAAATTATTCTAGGTCCGACGTCACCTTGAGTACACTGCAAACGAGAAGAGGCGAAGCCCCCATCCTGACCACGAGTTCGCAAACTACTAATTTATTGCGGCATTTTCTCATTCGGTCAACTCACTTGCTGTACTCTTCGTTTAATAGATTTAACCAATATCCAACTGTTTTATTCCAACCTATGACAGCAGTAAAATATATTATTCATTCATAACAATGTAAGAAATATTCTAAAATGTTCTTAGTAAATATTTCTGTATTTATTCTCTCTTTCCCATTGAGGTAAACTATTTCATAATAAAAGAATACATTTCATTTGAGTGTTTCCTTCTTCACATTTATTTATTTTTTAAGATGATAACTTTATCTTTAAGAATAGAACGTAAACGAGATAAAAAAAATTTGAGTGAGAAATTAGAATAGAGATAGACGCAAAGAGAAGAAAAAAGAATATAATAGAATAAAAGGAATTTAAAGAGTACAATTAATTATCATCGGTATACAACGAAAACCTCTATTAAGCAAAGAGCTTTGTAATATAAAGAGTAGGCATTGGGATTTATACGCAAAACCAGTCGCCTCAATTGGGTTCAATAAGAAGCCAAAGAATATCGTTCTTTTGTAATTTAAAAAGATTTTAGGACTTGTTAAGCTTTTCCATCACCAAAAACTTGCGGTTTTTTTTCATAATTTGCCGTTAGATATGCATAACTTTATTATCTTTTTAGATAAACTTTATCTTAAAACAGACTGCGATGTAATTGGTTTAAAAATTTGGCTAGGGCTTTGCTCACGTTACTGGACTAAAATTCTGCTTTAGACTATAACAAAACTATACTTAATGACATACTAACAAATTTTGTTTCAAAATATGTGGTATTTCAGAAAATCACAATTTTAGCTTTATTTTAACAGGAGAGCATCCAATCCTATAACTGATTAAAACAAATTTAGAAGTTTATAACCGTGTCGTTATTTTTCAACCATTTTTAGCAAATTACAAGGATTACTTTATTTGATAACTAGAGTTTTAATGTTGATTGTTTGAATTCAAAACCAATACTGCAGCCAATGATCACATATAAAAGTTTACAGAGCGTACACACTATTCGGATTAATTCCTAATGCCCTATCTTTTACTATTCTACCGTCTTTGCTATTAAGCAACAATAATTATAAGATACCGTTTTGAATTGTACATGCCACTCTAATATTTGAATCATTTCAAATCACGTGAGCTGTTAATTTACTTGAAGAAAAAAGAAAGGACCATTGAAATATTAAAAATATTTATTTTTCATCAAGAAACCCGAGGCGTCCTTGTCTAGACACAAGTTAAAGGGACTCAGACAATTTAAAAATTGAAATTACTAATGAGAAAAAAATCCTACAAACCTTTAACTTTTTTTAATTGAATTATTTCTCATGAAATTTAAATTTTAAATAATATCATCCTGGATAATTGGATGGATAAAAAATGTTTAAAAGATAAAAAGAATAACTTTGGAATTATTCAAGAATTTCAATTAAATTAGTAAAATTCTAAAACGGTAATAGAGTAAAGCGCGGTATTTGGTTATTGTTAAGCTTAACTATTCCGATATTTAGGAAAAAACATAGAACTCACTATAGTTTAACACAAATTAGTTGAAAAAACATAAATTCTTAATTTTGAAGATATTTAAGTAAGAAACAGAAGAGAAAAATGAAAAGGATTCAGAAACACAGGTTGCTTTAAAGTATATAAAATTGTTGTATTAAGTCATATATTTCACTTAGGTTGGTTATACATTGCGGTATTTGGTTATAGTGTTAAACTTTATCATTTTTACACTTGTTTAAGCTGGTAAAGTAAAAATGTTTATGACAACACTAGTTTTCATGAGTCTATTCCCAACAAAACACTTTTAAATTATAGTTTTCACTTAAAAAAACACGAACAAAAAAAAACACTCAAATCCGACAAGAATGAACTTTAGAAAGAAATTCAATATTTGATTTTAATATTGTTCACCCCTTGCACTATTAAAAGTTGAAAACCTTTTCTCCGACATAAATCTTTCTTTCTCTTATTATTGAGGATCAACAAGCTGTTCAGCAAAAAGAGGATCATCAAGATGATCAGCGAAGGGAGGATCATAAAGCTGCTCAGCGAGGAGAAGTGGTAGGCGATTACTTGTAACTTGTAATTCGAAAAATGCTTGTTAACAATCAGAACTTAAATAAAAAAGTCGTTTTTATTATTTTGATTTAGTCGCCTGCCACTTTACATCGACATTTCAAAAATGGTCGTAACGGTGATCTTTGTAGATGACCGGCAAAATTTTAAACATTACATTACAGTTATTTATTCTTCGTTTATCCGAAAAGGATGATTTCCTTCAACAAGTTTTTAACGAATTTTTGAATTTTTTAAAACGACTAAGCATTTTTTTGGAAAATCTTTTTAATATAGCTCAGCTCACTTATTAATTATCATTTTCCAAAAACTTCGGGATTATTTTAACTTCAACGATATTGAAGGCAAAACCTGACGAAGTTCTGCATATATACGTACATTTGGAGAATAATGATTGCCTTATATAACATATCTACAATCTATAACACTATATACAATGAAACTAAAGTACAATTTAAAAATCTTCTTTTGGTTTCCAATTCAATAATGATCAAACAGTATATCATAAAAATGGTTATACTGTGAGACCCATACATCTGTGGAATAGGAAGACGATTGTTGTACTCTTGTTAATATTTTAAATAGTTCAATGCACATGAAAAACAGCGATTATAAAGACATTGTGCGGAACAAGGATTGCAGTTTTCGCCTTTTTTTTAAACGATCTTTTCCTTTCAAAGACGATAGAGAAAAAAACGAAAAACGATACGGTCGTTTTTAAAAACGATAGTTTTTAAAAAATATCGTTTTTTTAAATAGAAAATAATTAAGTCGTGTTTTAGTTCGTCGTATCGTTAGGTCGTTTTTAATTTTTGACGGTTTTGAAAGCGCATAAACTTGAAAAAATTATTTTTTTCTTTTATGTTTAATTAATTTGTTTTATTTGAGTTAGTGACACGAATTATGGCTTAAACACTGTTTACTTAATGATTTCCAATAATTTACAAAGTTTCACAAAAAAGAAATTAATTATACCGAAAGTATACTTTAATTATTTATTTTATAAACTACTTGAACCTAAACAGGAGGAGGAGGGGGGGGGGGCGTAGTTTTTTTGTCTTAGCACTCTCATTTTTGACACTATCACCAAGAAATTTTTTTGACTTTTAATTATAACCCTATATATTGCATACTGTTAACTTCTCAGCATTTCTTCTTAGCATATTTCAAACATTAAAACTATAAAATATCGCTGATCTTCTTCAATAATTTGTCACAAACTCTGATTTTCAATCTCTGTATGTTTGCAAACCCAATGCCATAGACCACAGATAGTTCAAACCATGAATTCTGTTATGGATCAAATACTTAAAGTTTGATATATGAATACTGAAATATTGAAATATCAATTTTTAAAGATATAATTACTCAAAAATTTGAGTTTGAGGCAAAAACTATAGCTTTGCAGGGCTTCTGTCTTATAAGAGAGTAAGACCCAGAAAAATAGAAAATTGGTTTAACTTTTATTGGATTAAAAACACTAAAAGCAATATGTATATGTAAATATACATACATATATAATTTACCAACAAGCCTAACCGATATTGTCATTGTAATCATTCCTACAAGAATTAAAATGAAATTGTTTAGAGTATTCACAAATTGCGGCATTTTAGAAATATTTAGAAATTCGCCAAATCTAAATAATTTATTTGAAGAAAATGCATTCCAAGAATCTATGAATAAAGGATGAAGAAAATCTTTGAAGAAAAGAAATTGAAGAAAAGATTTTGGTTGAGTTGAGGGGAAAAATCAAAACAAAAATATTGAAAAGTTTTTACTTTTTGTCACTAAAACAGTGACAAAAATAAAAGACAAATCTCAGACATTTTATTCATAGTTAAAAAAATTTTTTTGATCATTATCATTAGAAATAACTGTTATTGAAGGTAAAGTTATAAAAGTTAACGAATTTTCAACAAAACTTCTTATGTGCTTTTCTCAGGCTTTTTTTATGACAAACTCATTACTGTACAGTGTACGCTCTACACGACTCTACTGTACAGTGTACACTCTACACAACTCTACTATACAGTGTACACTCTACAAGACTCTACTGTACAGTGTACACTCTACACAACTCTACTGTACAGTGTACACTCTACACAACTCTACTGTACAGTGTACACTCTACACAACTCTACTGTACAGTGTACACTCTACACGACTCTACTGTACAGTGTACACTCTACAC